AGGGACGGCAAGATCCTTAGGACCTCGAGCCGAGATGACGATCATCCTCGAGGCTATCTACTAGGAGAACATCACCCCACGAGGAAGTGTCTCCATTCCGTCGTAGAGTCGCCCTGGACTCTCGTGTCGGATGCTGGGGGTCGGGATGATTAGAGGGATGATGAAATCTGCGTAGTTTTACCTACTTTGGAGTAAATATTCACAATCTACAGAAACCGTGGGTGTCAAAACTGAATCACGTAACGCACGGCACGTAAGTTCAAAACTGAATCACATGAAAAGTCTCACTTAACGAACCTGTTATTGTCACCCTATTGGAAAGAGACAAATATCCTCTGTACTTGATATTTTGCTTGGCTTGCTTTTCAGCTGAGAGTACTCTGTCCTGTTATATAGCACTAAGTCCATGTCAAAGCCCCATAGGAACAAACATACATACACAAATGTAACGTAAACGTTAATGACACACCAGATGCAAATGATTCAAGGGTTATTAGAGCGCCTAGAATTTGAGAAAAAATACAGAAATTATTTCGTTATCTACACTATAGATTCCAGGAAAGCCTACTATATTAAGTTTATGAATTTCTAATTTAATATTGGTGCGTACAAAAACGCACACATCTGATAACTCAAAACAATTGTATAGAGCGACATAAAGTAGACCAAATGGATAGTAGTGAGATAATCTTATAAAAAATACAACGCTTAATAGATTAGCCCGAAAATAATATTTTTAAGAATTAGTTTCAAAAATACAATTTCCAGTTAAGCCCATTCAGTGGCGGACTAAGGGGAGGTCGGAGGGAACGGTCCGTCTCGGGCCTCTTGTCCTGGGAGGCCTCTAAATGGCTGCAAGTTTCCCGTGATCATATCATAAATTGGAGGTGTACTGCCTTATCTTTCCTATGTCCAGTTTTACAGGCCAGTTTAGCAGACGTCTTAATTGGGGGAATGGGTGTTAATGCAATATCAAGTTTCTACCAAGGTTGGAAAAAATTGTAGGTCCGGCTGATGTCGCTCTGGGTCCCCGACGAGGTTAGTCTACCACTGGCTTTTGAATTATATAGTAAAAGAGGTAATGATTAGTAAGCGACGGCGAATATGATTTGGCTCGAGCTAAATTGCTAAAACGAACAAAGAACTTAGTCTACTATCGTGACGTAGGCCAATCTAAGGGAGAGCAAAGCGGGCTAATACCCAGAGTGGCAAAAATGCGGAGCGGTAAATTTATCGAATACAATCCTGAAAATTCTGAAGCAGCGGTTTTTAACCTGTTTGGAAGGGTCTTAAGGATATCCGCGATCCTGGCGTATTAAAGTTGTTTGAATTCATATTCTATGTTATTTTTAAAAAATTGACGATACAATGCTCTATGCTCCATACTATAAAAAAACAAATGAGAAAGTATTTAAAAAAAGACGAAAGTACTAAAAAAGCACCTTCAATAGATGGCGACTCTAGCAAAAGTTGACTTTTGCATGAAACGACCATTCGTTTTATGTAAAAGTTAAACAAACGTATTAAAAAACTGAAATTTGAAAAGTTCCAAACCTAGATATCAATACAAATAACAAAAAGTGCAAATAGAATATGAATAGTTTATTGAGTTTTGAAAACTAATTTTCTTTTAAACATGAAAGACAAACGGAATGGTTGTCATGGAAAAATCAAGAACGTACCGTAGCGACATCTAGTTTGATTTCGGGAACTAGTGTTTTTTAAATACTTCCTCATTACAAAGTAAAAATGACAGTGACATGTGTTTGTGAAGCGTCAACAGTCTGTCATTCCCAAGTGGTCATTCCAAGATTTGGCTGAATGGCTTAGATCCTTTGCCTGTCCCGTGGCCGAAACTACTACCTATGACTACCACTCTACCTTATGACTCTACCTTTGATATATGATAGGTACTTATTCAGAGGACTCTACCACTAGAACAATCTGTCAAATCAAAATAAGTCGGAATCTGTGGCTACGTTGCCAGAAGGTTACTTTTGTAACCTTTTAGGTGATTTTTAACTCCTTGAGGTTACTTCGAGGTTACACGACACAAAAGGTAACTTTGTGGTAACTTTTAAAATTGCGCGGAAATGCTTTTCTATGTTCCCACCAGGGGCTTGTATCTACCTAGTCTGTGACAGGAAGTGCAACCACAGAATCAAATCAAACATACTCTTCAATCGTCCGATTCGCTCGGTTAATCGTTTAAAGTTAAATACGCGATTCACTATCTTACCACCTGATGTTAAGGACAAGATGTTTAGTCCCAATTTTGGCCGCGAGCAGACTTATCTATGGCGGACTCTATCTTCATTCATTCATTCTTCCAGTCAGTTTATTTATTATATTTTAAACTGTGCATTTGCATTATTGTTTTATCAGCTACAATATTGCAAAATCACTGACCCCTACAAATTAGGGTACTGTAATCCACGGTTTTTCATACCGCTTGAAAAAATGTATCTAGGCGTGTCCACTCAAGAATCCATTATTGAAATTGAAAACGAAATTCCAGCAACTAAAACGCAGATAACTGATTTTAGAAAATCATGTTTGTCGTTTTATATCGAAGCAATCAAACAGATCACACAACGTTTTATCTTTTCGGACCCACTTTACGACATAATCGAACTAGTCACAGATCCTCAAAAAGCTCAATCATTTGAGACAAAAGACCTTACTTTTGTCGTCAATAGATTTCCATATTTAAGAAACGATTTAGATCTCGAAGAGCTAAATAAAGAATGGAAAATGCATGCACTGTTAGATTTTACTCATTTAAATTTGTCTCCGAATCTAGAAATACTCGATTACTGGAACAATGTGTTTAGGTTAAAAAAAAGTTCAGGAGATTCATGTTTAAAGAAAGTTATAATGCTTTTGCTGGTCCTACCCTTTTCAAACGCCAGCGTTTTCAGCCAGCTCAAATTGATTAAATCGGACCATAGAAATAGGCTTGCCATGGAAACAATATCAGCTTTGATGGCTACCAAAGCAAATATTCCAAATGCCATGACATTTTAGCCAACAAAGCTGATGCTGAAAACTAGAATAAAATATAAAAAGGATGGGGAAAGCGAAGAAGATACTAACTGATTACTAATTTATTGATTTTTACTTTGTACTTAATAATAAGAAAGCCATGTGATCTGTAAGAAAGGTCCTCGTGATCTATAATTTTTGTTTATTTGTGAATCTATTGTCTTTAATTACAGGTGTTCAGAAGAAGTAATTTTTATACTTAATAGCAACTTAAATATGGAGAAGAAACTTTTAAATGCCTACCCATAAATAAATAAGTATTTTTTTATGCTTTTGGACATCTAAAATGTAAAAGGTTACTTTTCCTGTAAAAAGGTTACTTTTTTGCACACCGCAGGTAACTTTTGACAAGACCTCGCTGGCAACACTGATCTGTGGTCAGTTGTAAACAAAATATTCGGGTTAAGCGGAGACTTAGTTTTTAAGAAAAACCAATTTAAATCAACATAAAACGAAGAGAACGTAGTGTTTAAACTCTCTTTGAAACAACATAAAACGAAGTTATTTAATGTTTAAAACGATTAATTTGTAAGTCACTTAAAATAAAGATTATACTTATCTTACTTTCCTTTTTAACCAGTTCTAATAAAAACCTCTGGATATTCTTAAAAAATCTAGTATGGAAGACGGTCACGTAAATAACTTCGTACTCATCTTTGAAAATAATCGAGTAAGTACTTTTTTCATTGAATATTTGTTTATTCTTGTTCATTTATCAGTGCCTTTGTGATTGAAACATTTTAATTAAAAATGACCAAGTAATCTAATTTGATCACGAGTAAAATTTCTATAAAACGTAATATTTTGTAAAAATACACTTAAGATGTCACAGTTCTACAAAAACTCAAATATACAAATAGACCTCATACAAAAACAAAACTGATGTTATTGATTCTTATCTATTCCACTTCACAACTTGTATTTACCTATTAACATATCGCACACCTAGATCTAAACTAAGACAACTCAAAAAACTAATTTGGAGGTCTGACAATACATTTGTTTACGTGGCAGGAGCGCAACCACTGTTGATTCAACAAAAGAAAGCTAAAGCTATCTTGCGGCTCTTCCCTGAACTTTTTATTGAATCTGTTATGTTGGATAGATGCGTATGATCACCGAGCATTTGAATATTGTACTAAGTCAAAACTCACTCCAATTTTTGAGTTGTCTCAGTTTAGATCTAGGTGTGCGATATGTTTACCCACTGGGGCTTGAAATTCAGATTTATTCTATAAATCTAATTCAAGCACAGATGCTACACTAATGTAAATTTGAGTACATAAAAATATAATGTTTTTCTGAAATGTCTTCCTGTAATAGATAAAGAGTTATTAATATAAATTATGTATTTTGAAATGAATAAATTGAATTGAATTTATTACTAAAATAAGGTCACCATTACAAAATATATATACATCACTATATGGTCTAAAACAAAGTTGCTTTCTTTGTCCCTATATCCCTATATATGCTTAACCCGTCTCGCGATTTTTTGAACACACAGGTGTGCAAACGCTTCAAGTGCCTTTTGTGACTTAATCGCGTGACGGGTTAAATCTTTAAAACTAGATAACGGATTTTGAAGAGGTTTTTTTTCATATCCTAGATATGAATGATTAAAAAAGAAGGTTTTTAAATATAATAACAAGACCACGTAGGCAAAGCTGCTGGCGGAAAGCTAGTATGTAATAATAGCTAAAATATAAGTATGATTATATAAATAAAACATTTTCAGGAAATTTATTACTAAATAAACTAAATTCCCATAGATTTAATTCACTTAAAAAAAATCTTTTTGAATAACAATGGATTTCATTTAATCAATTATTAAGAAAATTTCTATTATAGGTATATCATACCTTCCAAGAAACTGACATTGGCTAATATGTATATAATGTACTTAAACAGGTAAAGTAATTATTTTTTTTATTATGATCATTACCTAACAACACACAAAGTGAAAAATATAGTTTATAATAAATACTTGATTTTTGGGTGACAGTGTTTTCACTAAAAACTGTCACCAAACAATTTAGGAATTACCTAAGGTTAATAACAATGAATTTCATTTAATCACTTATTAAGAAAATTTCTATTATCTTAATAAGTGATTATTTATATCATACCTTCCAAGAAACTGACATTGACTAATATGAATATAATGTACTTAAACAAGTAAACAAATTATTTTTTAATTATGATCATTACCAACCAATGCACAATTAAAGTGAAAAATATTGTTTATAATACTTACTTGACTTATGCGTATTTTCACTAAACACTGTCACCCAAAAATTTTGGAATTGCCTAAGGTAAAAATCCATTTCGACAATGACTAGGACCCATCTAAAGACATTTAAGCAATTTCTGTAGTTATAACAGTGTTATGCGGTACCTTGCACTAGGCATTTGTGTAATATGACAGATCACAAATATGTCAAGGGTGGTTTTATTTGGAATTATAACTAATCTGCTTAGACAATTTGTAAGATAAGGAATTTCCTAGTTAAGCTTTGCCTTGTTCTAGGTGAGTGAAATTGGTGTTAAGTCTTAGTTTAAGATTAAAATTTATCTGCAAGTTTTTACATTCAAAATTATAATACTAATAAATATTAAATATATGTAAGTACCTAGTCTTTGTCTAACAAGTAGTGTCACAGAATAAATCTTTTTTAAAACTGGTTCGCAGATAAATGGATTATGGTAACTTATTAAATTATCACAAATAGGATCAGCTACTAAACTAGTCTATTTGCATCATACTAGACTGTATTGGCCGCTGCAAGAATAACCTACATATTTGGATTTTTATTTATATAAATTTCAAAATTGTTACAATAAATAAAAAAAAAATACTCAATCATAATATAAAAAATGTAACAAAAATCAATATTAAAAAAATCATGCCTTTTCCTAGTGACATGTTCAAAATATTTGGTGGTCACATTCACTTTGTACTGAATGTCAGCATCATGATTTTTACCTTTTTTGAATCTTATATGTTTCCTTTGGCTGTCATAAAATGGGTGATAGTAATCACTAAATATGGTGGATTGCCATATCTCGAAAAATACAAGACCTCAGCTCGAAACTTGAGGTCACATTATAACTATAATTTACATTTGATAACAATATACAATAGTGAAACAACTAATGTTATGCAAAAAAATGTATCTAGTGTTAGTGTTACAGTGGAGAAAAGTGCAATAATGTTTGAAGATATATGGATTCGGGTATGTTTATTTATAATTAAATGCATCTCGTAATGGATTCTAGAAACTGATGTAACCAATGGTTCAGTTTAAACAGTGCTAATAATAAACAAGGCTTAGCGTCAAAGTAAATTTTTCATATTAAATTCATATTATACAGAGAATTACCAAACCTACCTTTGCTAAATCTCTGTTTAATAATATGAATTTTGACTTATACTAAGTGCAATCTCAGCATAAATTTATTCCAACGCTAAAACATGTTTATAAATAACACTGATATATTGTATATTTAATCTACACATGTATATCTTTTTTAAATTACACATGGAAAATTAATGCGGATTTCAAAGATGTACATAATGTTTCATTAGAAAGCTTTATATGTACAATACAGGATCACGCGAGCTAAACCGCTAGCGGAAAGATAAACCTTGATAAAAGGTAAACATATCAAAGAATGACTGGGTAAAAAAGAAATGCTATTTAGTCCGTTGGTCAGATTATAGAAAACAAAAAATGGCTTAAATAATAAGCATTAAGCAAAAAATGGCTTAAATAATAAGCATTAAATTTTTAGAGAGGGGGCTCACTAAGTGACAGTTTTATAGAAAATGTACAAAAGCGTGACGCTTAGACAACTATTAGATCACAAAAACTACGTTATGGTCATCATACCAATAGGGAAAACAATGATACTCGTATTACGTAAGCACCCTTACGGAGCTGCAAATTCGTATAAAATTTTATTGAACCTTACCTAGTAGCTTTTGTCAAATGACCTCAATAAAGGCATGTAACGAGATTTCCCTTTGAATACGCCATGAAATAAAACTGCCGAGTGACATGTTAAAGTTAACATCCACATGTAAAGATGGCGAATGAAGAAAATATATTTTATACTCGTATTATTCTGCGTCGGCATTGTGTCATTCCATTACAATGATTTTATAAACAAGCATGAAGACTCCGATAAATACTCGTATGTTGTTTATCAAACGCAAACTTTTACATACGGATATTTTTTAGTTTTGTTTATATTTAATATGTATCACATAAACTAGACGTACTTTTACTATTTATTTAAAAAGTCATTTCGGAATTATTATATTTGATTTTGCATTCGCATTAGCATAATGATTAATATTTTTAAATAAAATATTTTGAAATCCACCTACTTCAGGCACCACGAGATGGGGCCCAAACCCGCACCTTTCGCAATCCGGGCGACTGCTCTAACCATTGAATTACGAGAGACCCAACAAAATTTTTCAAGCACTTGTTACTTTTCGCTACTAGCGAATTTTCATCTATCTTCTGAATACACTTGCCGACAGAAATATTTTAAACTTTCTATTTCGGGGCACCTGGGGCTGGTGAATTTCTTAAGCATTATTCATTAAAAATAATATCGGAATTTTCAGCATAATATAAAAGTAAAGAAATTTTTCTTTTGAACTATTCATTCATTAAAGATATCTCGTGGTCCTAGGAAGGTACTCCAAGCAGTTTGCCCAGAATTAATGAGGCTCAGACCATTAGCTGCATCACCTTGTTATCAAATTAACTGAATTTAATCTTCTTTCCACTAGGGAATTAGAACTTAAGCTAATAGCCAAAACGGAGAACAGCTTTTTGTTTATTACCGTAAAACACTATTACAATTACTATGTAAAAAAAATTAAGTTGATCTTTCAATAATATGTTTTAATATGGTTGTTTACAAAAGGCGTAGGTGCTCTTTAAAATTCAATATAGCGAATACGTATGCGTTTAGTTCTTATTTAACCTACCCTTACTTAGTTACTTATGCACCGAGTACTAATTTTGAAAATGCTTCCAACCCAAACTATTAACAAGACTCTGTTTTTTCTTAAGCTTATTTTTAATGTTCTCTGGAACGTACTTCGAATAAATTTATTTGTTATATACCTTTGGTTCATTAAATATAAAACTTTCTATAAATAATATATACTTGGGCATCAGCAGTATTTTGTAAGATCCGTGCGATTAATTCAAAAACAAATATTTAGATCAAGGTTCATCTCCATAACGCAGGCTAACGAGAACGAATTATAAATGGCCCGCGCAAGCAAGTTCTAAAATTACCACCAAATTGAAAAATCCCGTCTAATTGTCTGTCCCGAAAGAAACAAAGTACCTATGCAAAGTCATCAACATAAGCAAGCTCAAGCTCTTTGTTTTTTTATAAAATTGCCTTATAAAGAATTCATATTTATTTCATTTCTTAATGTAGATTTTTGTTCGAGCATGTACTGAGTGTAACTGAATAGGAATTAACTGTTGCCGAGAGGGATTTTTTGGATTGATTTTTTGCAACTTAGATCGTGACTGCGGGAGTAACTCGGGGGCGTAGTGTAGCCGCGATCGTAGTCATTAAGCAACTTCTGCAAGGGTCGGTCACGGGATGGGTGACTAAAAAATTATTATCTCGAGCTACATCGTGCTTCGGAAGGCACGTTAAGCCGTTGGTCCTGGCTGCATTTGCAGTCGTTAATACCCTCCAATCCGCATTGGGCCAGCATGGAGGGTCATGACCCATCCTCCTTAACCATCCATAAGGAAGGCCTGAGCCCCTGCAGTGGGGACGTAAAAGGGCTGGTGATGATTATGATGATGATGAACCCAGATCGATCTCAACATCGTCCCAAAATTAATAAATCGAAAATCAGTCTTTACTATTGTCCAAAATGTATTTACCTTTTATTTTCCTCATTAACTTATAAAACAACAGCATTATCGTAACATTACTACAATCAGTTAACAATTTCCCTAAAGTAATAATTCGATAATACCCCAATCGATTCGCAAGATCGATTGTTTTGCTATATTTAAATATATGAGTTCAGTATAGTTTGTCAAACGCTTGAGCAGCCTTGATAAAAGGGTAGACATTTCAAATAATATATATTTCTTTTGTTTTAGTTAAGCTATTGCGGACAAGACTGTGAAAGAATACCCCCGGCACTGCAAAATATGTACGGTCCCAAAGTGAAGCACTTAGATTTGAGGTAAGATTTTATATTTTTACTCACGTTCCACATCAATGGTCAACGTGAACGGATGCGATTACACAGGCATTCAACAACTTTCGCACACTAGAAAGTATATCGATGTATTTTTTAAAACTGAAAGCATTACCTTGAGTTAGTTTAAGCAATGTAATAATCCTAAACTTTTGTGAATTTATGTGTCCGTGGTAGTTAACGAATTGGTCATTAAATGATATTTTCATTCCAAAATGATTGGTCCTAAATATTTATCGATCTCTGGAATATTTTAATACATAATCTTTCAAAGTCAAAGTCAAAATAATCTTTATTCAAATAAACTTCTTAAAAGTACTTTTGAATCGTCCAACATTTTTTTCCCTACCACTCGTTCAGGACGTCTTTTGGCTGATAAGAAGAACGAGCAAGAAACTCACCAGCTCTAATATGAGTAATGACATTTACAAAAACCATATCATTACCAGATCAATACATTATAAACAGAGATAAAAAAAAAAGCTATGGTCTTATAATAATAACATAATCATTTAATAATAATGGAAACAAGATAATGAGTTTAGAAGTAATCACCTATCCAGTTGCTGGATCATCTCAAGTCCAAGCGTTCTTATCTGTTATATAAAATAATATACTAAGTATGTAGGTGAATAGTCCGTTTAATTTTAAATATAATTGGTGTTTAGAATTCTGAATACGTATGTATTAATACGTATGTATTCAGAATTCAGACAGAGAGAGTAACGTGCAATAATATAGTGTTGTGTAGATATGACCTTTAGTATCGATAGTTTTATCGAAAGGAATCCAAATACTATCAATAATCAAATCTAGATAAGTGATTTCTAAAATCCTGCACCGTTTTCCAGTCCATCTTGTTACAGGGTCTAGAAAGCAGAATCGAAAACGACTGCTAGTCTCGCAAATCCATTTTCAAATACACTTGAATATTTCATAAAAAGAAAATCACTCTACGAACGGGTTACCGCTTGATTTAAAATGTTCAGTTCCACAAATACTAAACCCTATTATAAAACTGTTGAAAGTAAAAATTGACACAATATAGTTTTGCCCTATCGATCAATTATGTATTCGTAGTGTCGTACCTAAATAGTCTCGTAAAGGTACTATCGATAGGTAATATGGACAAAATATTAAAACATCACTTCATAATCCACTATATAGTCCTATCGTTAGTATGACTACTTTTGAGTTTATCGATATCGGTAAGGAAACTTTCGCTGTCGTACAACGTTGTGCTGTATACCTTAAAACATAATCGAATATTTTTCTGTGAATCATTTAACGAAGATTTAGAAATAATCGAAGAAAGAATATGCTCTCGTTAACGAAATGGTGCATGCTACCCCAAATTAATCAAAATAAGGTTCTATTTTATTAAAAATATTTTGTTAGAGCATGATACAATTCTAATTTTAAGATTTATGAAACTTCAAAACTAAACCTCTACCCGTAATATAGTTCACGTTTATTTAAATGTTATTAAAATGTGTGTATTTAAAAAGTATATTTTAATGTGATAGGAGACTTAAAAATTTTGCATAATATTAAGCATTTACCTCATTAATAATGCCATATGATTTTCTTTATACGAAGCTCATGGTCCGGCAATCAAACCGTTTATACGGTTTTGCTGGACTAATACTTTAATAATTAAAAAAAAATTATTTTAATGGTAACAGAATCGTAATTAAGAATCCCTAATTCTAAAAATCATGGTGGAACTATTTAACGTATCTTGTTTAATTCGCTTGCCATACTCTTACTTTGGAATATTCCTAATGATTGTTTCCTTGAGCCTCCATTAATTCAACCTTTCAACTCATGCTGTCTCATGCTCATAATAACTATTAATCAGCTCTATCTCAAGTTTACTTATAAAAACTATCTTAGCCTAAACGAATCTAATATAGAGGTAGAAAAAGTAGACATTGATAGTTTACCAATAGTTAAAATTCAAATAAGATAAAGTGCTTATAACTGAATAATTACTTATACAATCCAGAACCACAAAAAATAAAAGTGAAGAGAAAAATACGCGTAATGATTTGCCCAGTGATTCCCTTATTCTTTATCCTAAAATGCTTTGACAAAACTATACTATTTAAGGGATCTATATTAGCATTTTTATGTGTAGAGAGTGTAGAAGTAAGAAAATAAATCAATACATAAGAACTTCAGCCCGTTTACCAATAAAACTTATGAAGCATCGTTTAATGATAAACGCGTGTTATAAAAAATAATTGTGATATACTGCCACATTGTCGATAGTATGAAAAATTATTACAATACCAAATATCGACTGATATGGAAACATATCAGTAAGTAGGGAAAGTAAAATCTACTCTAAACCTCTTCAGGATAATAAAAAAAAATACAAGAAGGTACGAAGCTGAAAGACGAATAAAGCCGATTATCGTCAGGATTTTCATAAATTGTCACGCTAAAATTGGAATAACCAATTATTAGAAACAGGTGTGGCGCGGATGGAAAAATATCTTATAAAAATTTAAGGTTACCTACCATCGCGTAGCTGGCTTTTCCGTTTGATACAGCACGTAGATATCGTGGTAATTAGCCGTCCATAACCAAAATTTAATAATAGTAGATCCTATAAAAATAGTCTTGTGGCTTGTGACTAAAAAATAAGGTTTCTCATTAACAAACCAATTGTCCATATCGCAGCAAACTAGTTTAAATGATTGTTCAAAAACCATTCAACAACACAGCTGAATGTCGATTAGATGTCGATTGGAAGCGTCACCGCTTTACTGTGGAGATTCCACAAACTCGCACCAAGCAATTCGCCTCTACATTCATCGTGCGGACTGCGAAGCTGTGAAATTCGCTACCGGACTCGCTGTTTCCGAGTAAATACAATCTGGGACTCTTCAAGTCAAGAGTGAATCGGTTCCTTCTAGGCAAGCACGCTCCATCTTAGACCACTGCATTGTTTACCATCAGGTGATCTGTGGTCAAATGCTTGCTTATCCAGCATAAAAAAAAAGATGATGCGATGAATGCTAGCTAGAAGATTATTTATTTATTTCATTCTTAATGCACAAGTGCGCATAGCCTTAAGACTTAATGCCTGAGGCATTCCTACTAGTCAACCTTGGGGTGGTGTGGCTACTCATTGTGATAAGGTGCACAACTAGAAATAATTTAAAAAGGTAGTACAAATATGTAAAACATGCCTAATACGAGTATTACATTTTATAATAGCACATTCAAATTTAACTAGTCGATGATGGCATGTCATTCACTCAAAGAGCTAACCGTACAATTAAACTACTAGGTACTTCAATTAGTTGTCCAAGACAACGACATAAAAATTAAATATATACTACGTTACATTTAAGGTCCTAAAAATGACTGTGCTAATGAACAGTTAGGATATAGCAAGAGGATCAACTGAAAGTCGATTATCAAAATTTATAAAGATCATAAAATAATTAACATTGAGTTAATCTGCCGCCATGAACAAGGGCGGCTTAGTAACATGGATTTAATAATATAATGAAAGTAATTAAGCAACCCTTTTTTTAAGCATGCCTCAAAACGACTCTTGGGTGCTGAACAGGGCTGTTTGCAGTTTTTATGGAATACGACACTGAGTGATGAGAAGGGTGTTGTTGGTGTAGGTACTATTTTTTTACTTATATCTGGGCACATCTTCTAACAAGAGAAATTTATAAGATTTCGGAGTTCCCTCTATAAGGAAAATCGTAACCGCCTCACATTTATTGATACAAAAGGGATGACGACTATTTTTTTTTTGTTTGTCCGTCAGGTAGAGTGTTAAAAAATATTAAACACGTATTTTTTTATTTTTTCGTAATCATAAAAATACGACGATACATTGAGTTGAATTTCGCATGACGTCACGTTATGATACGGTCTCTACTAAACTGTGACGTAGCTAGCCCCCACTCCTCAACTTTCAAATTTCTTGTTAAATTGAAGTAAAAAAAAATTCGTATCTAGTATTTTTCTATTATCTGACTGACGGACTAAGTAGAATTGCATTTTTTACCCAGTCGTCGTCCCAAATATCGACAAATTCCTGAAACGTAGGTACGTTAATGTTAATGCCTACTCTACAACATTTAAGCAAGCACACGAAAATTATCGTTTCAACTAGTTTTGTACAAGAAAATATCGTCCAACCAAATAAGCTGTAGAATTAAAAATAACTATAGGATTAAAACTATTGTTATGCCTGCCATACTCAAAAAATGTAGCTGAGGGCTTTATGCAATACTGTTACAATAATAGTAATACGTTTGACTTAATCAATTAAAGCGTTTTGACGCGCAATCCCTCATCCTCTGTCCCAAACTGCGTTTTGACTTTAAACCCAGAGGGATCACACAACACTATTAGAGCAGGATAAGCGATGAAACATCTATGATTTTTAACAATATAAGGAGCGTATGCGTCAGCCTATAACCGTGTAAAATTCAATCATCACTTTCGTCATTATGAATGATCGGAGTAGGTGGATTGAATTAGGGTTGATCTGAAATGTACATATTAAAATTTATTGTCAATTTCATAATTTCTTTGAAATTGTTATTATACTTTTTCCGGAAATTAGATAGGAAATGTATAAAAGTTGAAGTACAAGCAACAAATTCTCCTTATGGAAATCAATTATCTGTTTTTTTTTCTTTTAAATATAAAAAAATATGAAATATATACTTCTACCAACAATATCTATATTAATCAAAGTCTCACTCTTGTTACGTCTTATTTTGCTTTGCTTTGCTCATACCTATCCTTGAAATAAATAATTAGCAAGCAAATTTATTTACTAAAATGTGCTTATTATAAATTCTTCCATCACTTTTTTAATAAACATATTTTCTGTTTAATTGATGTAGGGAAATATATAGTTTTAAACTGATGTACACTAATAATTAGAAAAACGATAGCTTTGCCGTAAACCCTCACCTACATTTATAAATTGGTTATGTAAAAGGAAGATTTGTATCAAAATTGCATATTGTGTTAATAGCAGTTTCGTCGTTTCATTGAAATAACCTACCAATTTTCTCGCCAAATAAAAGTGGTAACAGCGTAATGCGAACCTGACTGAATATTTCTTTGTCTGATTCAGAGAAAACCATTTACGAATAATTGGCTGGCTTATTGGACTATAACATAAGTTTGGTTAGTATAATAAATAAACGGAAGACGTTCCGATATCTTGTAGCTGTTTATTATTTATATTTATCATTTAATTTAAATAAAATAGAATTGTTAACTGTATTTTGCTAGTGAAAGAGAAACGGCATTGATATTATTCGTTTTTAAACATTATTAGATGCTAAATATTCAAATACATTTAATATGGAATTTATTAATACATGATATATTAAAAGTGTCACGTGTTGGATACACACATATTGTTATGTATTTAATTTTTACAAATCAATACACGTAAAAATTTCCTGGCCACATACGTATGTTGTATTTAGAATATATGATATGCATGTATGTTATAAATACGCATTATATTAAAGAGAAAACAAGATAAAATCACGCGACCACCAATAGCACGTAAAAACAATGAAACAGGGCTCCAAAACCATTTTTAATATATTACTCGAATATAACTGTAAAACGACCATGGCCATGTAGATCAAACGTACGCATCTAGTAAATGGTCGCATAGCGAGTAGTTTCTTTTTTTTTTTTTAATAAAGACACCGACCTCTCTTCTGTGTACCTTTTCGGACAGACGACGCGAGTTGAAACAACACTTCAGTGTCCTAAATAATTTACCAATCTAAATGACATTTATTTTGTTGTATTTTATTTTCCTAAGATTTATACAAAATGCACACTCCTGAATTTCTTAACCCACGTAACTATCATTTTCACTATTAATATACAAAATAGTCATATAAATTGAATATTGTCGAATTTTAATTTGGCGTATTCACAATATTTAGGTGTTTCTTTTTGTCACAATCAGAATCAAATTAATATTAGTGGTTTTCTTCGTGCTCTTAATATCCCCACTTCTAAATCGGTGACCTTCCGTAAGTCTTGCAAAGGTATACATAGCCAAAGTGAATGTGATTAGATACCAATGCGTTTTGACCAGTCTTTGGGAAGAGCCCCATAAAACTATCGACACTTCCCAGGCCGCGGAACAATAATGTAGACTATGTACTTATAATATAAGATAAACAGATATAATCTATGACAGTGTCTTTGCAGGGTTCTTATGTGAACTGTCCTAGATATCTAGGATACGTAAGATCTTGATGTAACCAACACAAGAAAAGCGAATAAATAAATAACCTCATACGGAGTGCCCTCTCTGACTTCAGCCATAAACTACCACGACCCACACCCTGAATTCAATCGTGACGAAACTAAGAGTCAATACTCTTTGTAAACAAAATATATACTTGTCTCCTTGTACCGATTCACTGAATGGTTCATGTTCATAAACTTGCTCTAATACCCAACATTTGTCTTATAGTTACAACAGTATAGAAACCCTAAAAGGGCTAGAAAAATTCGGCAGATTGGAAGAACTGATATTGGACAATAATAAATTGGGGGACAGCGTCACATTCCCTTTCCTACCGTATCTGAGGACTCTCTCGCTGAATAACAATCAGGTAAGAATGAAGAAAGCTAATATAAATACCAGTAATATAGGTTTGTATAATTAAGTTCCTATTTTAGTTGATTAATACAATCGAGTATGTATCAGCTTACGGAATGGAAATACGAAATGTTTACAACGTAAAAGTAAGATATAATACAAGTAGGGGATATATATAGGACTCGTATCTACTTAATAGTAAGTAGGAAGAGTTTGAGGTTATCGCCTTCAGACAGAGGAACGCGACGGGGTACTTAGTTTTGTAATAAAAATATCATACACTGTTTATTACTACGAGATATTCCTTCTGACATTTCTAATTAACATTACCTCTTACAAAGTCACATACTTACTTTGACCTAAGTCGCAACTGCGTGTGTCAATAAGGAGCCCGGGGATTCAGTCTGTAAAAAAATCTCTTTTTTTTGTTTACCAAATCCGTTATATCGAATATTACATTATTTATTCAATAGAAAAACTATGTAACTCAAGCTAAGGCATGTTTAGATTTGGAATAAAAAAAACAAAGTGCAGACGGACACGAGCAATTACTCTTGAACTCTTGAAAGCATTCTGTGATATTGAACTTATTTACTCTTTAAGTTTTTTAATTGTGTTTTCTAAGAGAATGACGATTGTAATTTTCATATGTATTCTGATATATCTCCAAAACTACTAATCGCAAAAATTTAATATATTTTTGAGATCATTACTACGCTTTCATTTGACATGTCACACATGATATTATATAGCAATATATATTATAATTTATCCCCTTCCAAATTGTATCCAAAAAGTGGGGCAGCAACGTTCATAAAGATAGTATTTGAGGTATCATCAGTTGATAATCTATCTATTTAAATAAAAATCAATTCCCGTTCGTTTGTCTAAAACTCATGAACTTTGTCGGCTTTGAAATATTTGTCATAGGAAGATGAAGTCGTTGTTACTCTGCACGCCTGCACTATATTAGTTTCTATTAAGTTGCCAACTCCACCGTTTGCCCCTCCAATAACTACGTTGAAGTTTTATAGGAAAATTTTTCAATCAATAAAATCATCGTTTTTGGCAAAAGGTTAGAGGTAGTAAGTAGTTTATACCCTTTAACCTCTTCAAGTGTCCTCGTATTGCTTGTTAATGTTGTATAAGTGTTGTAATATGTGTACTGCCACAAAGTTGTAGGAAAGTTAACACATCGGTTGAATCATTGAATTGATTTATTAAACTCGACATAGAATGGAAAGTAGTTTGTTTTTAACATTCTATTAATATCAAAAATCTGTGAAAACAAACCGTTTTCGGCTCATTGTATTACACGCACGGTAGAAAGATTCACTGCAATATTGACAAATATCCGCAAAGTAATTTGAACATTACTAACAACGTGCTTAAGCTTGAGCTCGATTAAACTACACCCAGCTTGTTGCTTTACTATTTTGAGGAAGTAAATTTTCATTAAATGTTCTGGCGCGTTGTTAGTTGAAATTTTAATTTCTCTTAGTTAATATGAATAAATATTTTCCGGTATCGCATTGTGTATGCAATATTGATCAAATATTTTTCGTATGGTCAGTATGGTCTGTTGAATGACAATTTTAATGGAAGTTTGTGCAATTGACTGTTAGTAATTTATTATAACTTGTAAATTACATTCCATCAAAAACAACATCTACAAAAATGCACAAGTCCCACAACGCAATTCTTCTGCTTCAACATAAAGCAAGTCGATTAATTCAGTACCTATCTTTCTGTGAGAGCAGCTATCCAACCTTTGTCATAGACTAAGCAGGTGGTACCTAACCTATATCTCCGATAGTTTATTTTTATATTCAATTCAATTACTAAGGACATTATATTATATACAGTACATAATTAGAATTTGTTATTTTAATGTTAAGACTATAAGAAACCGAAAAAGTTGTATAATAAACAAACGTTGTTCGTTTGTAAGCGCATCGCTTGAAAGCAGCTATAGCGTAACGATTTGGAATTTTTGATGTTCGTAAGTCCCAGTTAACTTTTTCGGTAGGAAAAAATTGGAAAAGTTACCCAGGAAGAATTCAGCTAAAGTATTATTTGATTTATTGAAATTCGAACTGGGCAATGTCCATTGGGACACACTTTCTTCTTTATCACTGACCTCTTTAAATGTTCGAAAAAGTATTTAATACCTTTCTAGCTTTGGAATTTAGCGAGTGATCGGAATGAAATAACGTTTTATTAAGCTACACATGGCGTCTCATAGCTCTTCATGTTGTATCAATGTTCGCTAGATACGTAATAGAGTTATAAATTTTATTCCACCGAGTATTGATCCTTTGTAATAATATACTTTTTCTTGATTCAATATAGTCCAAGATGCTAGAATGAAAATAGCATCCCTCATTTATTATTACAAGCTTTTATTTACTTTGCCGCGTTGGTGTAGATCATATTTTTAACCTAATTTCGTGTTTTCGATCAAACTAAAATTTTGCATACTTGACATAGAACTTGTAGAACTTGTATGACAACGTCATGTCAAGTCATGGAACCTCCGTAATTTACGAAGCAACCCCATCGAGTGTAGCCTCCGTTGATTTACTATACAATATACATAGGCCACCTAAAACAATTTTTTTTATATAATACGTTGCCAAGATGAGAGCATATGGCTCGCACTGTCAAAGTTTCCGAACTTATGTAAAACCAAGCTTTTTAGTTTACATTTTCCTGACTCTACAAGCCTTAATTTTAGAAACTCTACACTAAATAAATTTTTAATTTGAATAAAAACGTGGCATACCCATTTCGATTCTACAACAATGCAAACCCTACTGATAAGGTTTAAAAAAAAACAAACAGCAAATGTGTTGCCTAACTAAATTATGGCCTCTTACTGTTAATTAAAACTTTACATAACTCAACATTTCATCAATAATAATTAATAACTATTAATTAGTGATGAAAAGTTGAGCATTACCACGGCGACCACGAATCTTTGTGGTAAAAACTGAAAATCAATGCTTTGCTCTTTGAGTAAATACTCACGGAGTTTTCGCCCATTTGCATCGCTGCGGCACACATACTGTTTTATTTCTTTGATTGATTGTCTTGCAGTAGTCGTATCTGGTTTTCAACTATTTTTATGTTCTTTTCTTTTTCAATTATTTATTGGCAATTATTAATTATTTATCGCTTACACCGCCGAAATATCGGAAACTCAATAAAAACAAGGTAAATGACCATGAAAGTTTAAAACAACATATTATTTATGGAAATTTGATATATAAAATTTTGTGTATACATGATGCAAATAAAAAAAAAGTCTATCTATCTAGCATTAAATTAATAAACATTCAAAAAGAATAGAAACCCTATGAGTTGCTTTAGAAAGGCATTAGCGATTTGATCTATCTTCATATTATCTAACATAACCTTTGTCACCGTCAAATGAAAGATGAGGAGGGTATGTATTCTATGACAATATCTCGTACTAATAGCGTTAAACAAAGAGAATGTAATTAAGAAAATGCTTCGTTTCTATAACTGAACCACGTTGTTACTATGAATTACTCGCAGTGATACAAATTGCAATTATCTCGCGTCATTGTCTCCCAGGAATGCGAGGTTTAACGAATCGATATTGGACACAAAATTGTCCTTCTGTGGCTCTCCACGTAATTTCTTTGAGAGGAACTTCAGTAGTCATAATATTTTCGTAAATCAAATTATTGTTAATGTCACATTGTTAACCTTACTTAATCTTAATATTTCACTAATGGTCACATGAGCAAACTGTTATTTTTAAACGATTTCAAAAAAGGATTAGGTTCTCAATTCGACAGTTGTTTTTTCTTTATAACTTTTTACTGGGTAGACCGATTCTGCTGATTATTTCTTTATTTGAAAGCTAGTGCTTGCCGTATGGTCACATTTTGATTTGGTCCACATCTGGCAATGGATTCTATGAGAAAATTATATAAGTCTTAAATTTGCATTAAATATGCGTGATGTATGTTACCACAAAACTCAAAATATCACTAAAAATGCATGAAATAAAAATGGAACCGACCTATAATTTGAGAAAGTGAAAACTAATACTTATCTTAAAAGCGGTTAAATGTTTTAAGAAACATCGAAGTCGGGCGGTTAATATTTAATTTACTACAGAAAACCTCAGCCCAATTAGTTTTCACTTTAAACATTTTTGAGCTATCTTTACAGTCTTTATTAGATTACCTATGTAATTGGGATCTTAGTAATGTATGTGGTGCTGTTTCATCATCATCATCACCAGCCTATTAACTGCTGGGGCCGAGGCCTTCCCCGTGGATTCCCCACGTGGGCCCAGTTTGGAATGGTGGGTATTAACGACTGCAGCCGGGACCAACAACTTAACATACTTTCCGGAGGAATTCGAGATAATACATTTTTGGGCACCCATCCTGTTGCCGGCCATTGTGAAAGTTGCTTAACAACCGTATCGCAGACCAAACGCGCTATAGGTACACTGCACCATCGAGCTCCTCTGTTGCTTTGCTCAATGTTAATATGGAATAATTAAATACCTTATTATTTATTAAATAGACACAGCTTTATTTTTTCTTAAAGCAAAATGATATGCTTTGTCATTATTTATTTACCGCATTATATAATCAAGATCTCTTACAGATTACCAACTTGGAGCTTCTTATGGATAAGATCCTGGAGCGTCTTCCGTCCCTTACATACTTGAGTCTTCTGAGCAATAAAGCGTGTCCAAATGAGCTCTCAGACATAGACAAAGACGACTCCGATTATCAGAGATACAGGTATATAGCGTGACCTACGCAGTTGCAAACCAGCGTTCCAACTGAGGTGACCTTGATAGTTGCCAACGACAGATGTAAACTACAACGACTTTCAAAGCAAAGAAATACTGGCACAATGAGCCGCGATTGAACCACTTACTGAATCTCTAATTTGGAGTCATTCGAAAAAACTAACTGCAGAGATTTCGAAGCTCACTAACGAATATTCAATGTTTAGAATAACTAAACATTAAATTAAGTGAAACTGATACTTGCACATATTATAAACAGGAACATGAAAGAGAAAAATATCTCGTGTGTGATTATGGATTACTAATCCACACATAATTGACCCAGAATATATAAAAGCTCTGAAAGCCTGAGAATTACACTTAAAAACGGATAATAATAAAGTCTCTTTTGTTGGAGAGCTGGTTACTCCAAAATATCACATAGCTTGTCTAGAAGTATACACAGGCGTCTTTGCGTGCGCTCAATCAACACCCCGTATGAGTAGTTTTTGCTTTCTAGCGTATTTTGTGTGCAGAAATGCCAATTTATTTTAATAAGACAGTAAAGACAGACGTTTTTTTCTGGTAGTGTTTAATATACGTTTACCAATAGTCACACTTCTATGTTTATTGTATTTATAATATTGCTTAACTATGAAAAAAAAACAAATATTTTGAACTCGTCACGTGACCGCAAACAGCGCGTGACGTCACTCCCGTCTACTCTTTTCCGAACTTAGAGAATTAAATATGCATTTATTATGCATGCATAGAACAATGTTAGTTTAAATTATATGTTTAAAATTAAATTTATTCTTAGATTTTAACTTTTTTAAATATTTTTTTTTAAAAAGTCGTATACGTCGTGTTAGATGACGTGATTAAACTCCTCTAATAAAAAATCATCGTTACTACAGGTACTTTGTTCTTTATAAACTGAAAAACCTACGTTTCTTGGACTCCCGACGGGTGTCGCCACGAGAGCGTTTGGAGGCGGGGAAGCGAGGCGAGTTCATGCGTGTGCGTCGGCCGCGTGACGTCACTGACTCACACCTAACAGAGCACATAACACAACCAGCCAGACCGCTGCCCTTGGATCTCTCCTTGTTAGGCAAACACAAAGGTATTTAAGCTGCATGTTTAAAAAATTCTAAAATTCCTTTCTTTCGCCCCTTTTTCGCTTTCGAAGAGTTATGTTACCAGTGGCGTACGTAGAGTGGGTGTTTGCCGCCCGTGGCGGAAGACAATTTTGCCGCTCCTCTTAATTAGATATTTTATATAATTATACTATACATTATATTAATTAATTTAAAAGAATTTTTCGGCAGGAACTGTCATTATTATTTTGCATTATACAGGTTAGATTTAGTGTGGTTGAGTTGTCGCCATGCAACTGCCCACGGATCGAGTGTTGTTGGTTCGATACCCACAAAGGACAATTCTTTGTGTGATTTACAAATGATTAATTTTAATTGTTTAATTCTTAGTCTGGGTGTACTTTCCCTCGCATGCTGGACTGGTATCCTATAAAACGGGCTTGTCTTTATAAAAAAAGATTTGAAATAAAAAATTATAACTAAACAACTGAAGATCCATGAATAAAGCTTTCTTTGAATTGTCAATGCAACACGTACTTTCTTAAAGAGATGTAATAAACAATATATATGTAATAGAAGTCATTCTTGCTGTTTATAAATCATAAACAATCCAAGCACAAAATAAAATACGGGGAATCCTCGTAAGTCAGTATACATGGTCCTTTTAATTCGGTCCGAACTTATAGTTGCGTTAAAAATATGAATTCGTTCAGATATTTAGAAAATATATTTTATTGTTTACTGTAAGATTTTGCCGCCCCCTAAATAGTGCCGCCCGGAGCGCCCCCCCCTGCCCACACTACGCTATGCCACTGTATGTTGCCTTCGTTGTTTCAAATCATCCTTTTTGCTTCAGGCGCCTACGGCAAGTGTCACTACAAATACACGGGCAAGCATTCCGAGGGCAACAGGTTCATTGTGAATAGTGATTTGTGACCGACAGAAAGACCAACCGACGGGTACGAAAGTCTAAGGAAGTCGGTTAAGTGTTCATATTTTTATAACTTATCATTTATCTATGTCAACTGCTGGTACTTGTAATATCAAATGAAATTTGAATATTAAAATTTAATTAATAAATAATGCTGTTATCGTTATGCCAAGTATTGGCATTTGTATGGCTATTTTCTATTACTAAACGGAAAGTACATATTGTTATTGATGATATAATTAAATGTATAACTGATTTTTAAATATTTTTTAGGGGTAACATAACAATGAGGTAAATGTGCCATTACAAATTATTTTAATAAATTATCTAGCCACGTATAATATATGTAAGATTCATGGTAGAGTAAGGATAATAGATATCGAAACTTGTACACTTATTCGGATATTAATTCGAATAAACTAGGAAACAGTTTAAAAAGAAAATGTATTTGTCGCGTATGATATACATCAAATTCTATTCAATGTAATACGCGTAACAGCAGTTCGTATTTTCTCAATTCACAGCTCTAAATGTATAACAAAAGTGTCCTTTGTCACAGAGACACGCAACACCGTTACTAAAATAAACCGAGTGATTAAATAAAAAAAGGTTTCAAGTTTCTTTTATGAGAAAAATATTCTGTTTTTCTATTTTAACACAATAAGTTAACAATGTAAGTGGATAGTCATCAATGTGAAATGTATATTTACTTTTCAACATTTCTGCATTTATTTTGGTTGTTATATTAAGATTATTATCATGTTAAATATGTATAAATAAATTTTATTCTAGTACTATTGTGTTTACTTTAATTACTAATTTCATTAATGTAATTAGGCTTAAAAATTTATTAATAACACGACAAAGATAATGTAGCACATTGTCAAGTACGAGTCGAACTTCCGCCCTAAAGATTCCGTAATAATATTAAAGACTTTTTATAAGCTTTCTAATCTATAGAAAATATGTTTATTTTATTGACAGAACATTTAAGAATAACGCATAGTGAGAGATTAAAATGTGTTAGATAAAAAAGGGTCCAAGTGCAAGTTGAACTCGCGCATGAAGGCTACTACTGTAGCAAGCAAAAATGACTGTGTAATGAAGTTATTTTTGCGTATTTTGAAAATATGCTACATCTCATAAATACTAAATTTATGTCGTTGAAAGCATATTATTTCTAGATTTTAAATTTTAGGTGACCATCTATAACTTTTTAAGATATTCTAAAAGCCGTTAGCAAACATATAAAAAAATTACTGTCTTAAAAAAAAATGAAATCTCCGTTCTTAACGAAACTGATGAGAAACTTTTCTTTGAAATAACAGAAACGAGTTTTTTATTCAGATATTTGAAATATTTATTTTGTTTAATATTGCAGTCGATTCAAATGTTTATATGATCATACAAATAACCCATACATCACATCCACCCATCCAAGTAATAAAACGTTATTATAAGTTTCTTAAGAGTCAATATCAATAATCACTATAATATTATTATCAGGTATAAATTCATCTGGCACTTTTATAACTTCTTTGGTAGGGCCATGGAAACTGTTTTGACCTCCAAGTAGGGATCCAGGCAGTTTATTCCACTGAAAAAAAAAATACATAATAGCACATAATATAACACTATTTATTTATTCTTAATGAAAAATCCTTAAAAAACACTCTTTCCATGATACTCTGTCGATTTTACTCTGTTGACTATTACACGTGAGACATCTAGATTAAAAATAGATCATCTTAACTCCGAAACAATTTAAACCTTAGCAATAATTAGATCACAGAACCTTTTGTCAAAACTGATATACCACTTTCTTGCCTTCATACCTTTAAATAATAATTTGACTTTTAAAATGAACGGCCGATTAATAATAAATACCAATGTTCAACTAAATCATGTTTTCTGTTCCGACTCATTTTTTTTTATCGATCTCTTTAGTTAAAATCTTTTCAACAATTATGAATATTAAAAATAGGTAATATCTTTTTATACTATTTATTCCCAATGAGATCGCAAAAACTTATGGTTCTGAATTTACGGTCGATATTTTTATATGTTAGAAAAGTATCATACCCTTCACGTCCAAGACCTGATTCTTTGAATCCTCCGAACGGAGCTTGCGCACCAAAAACCAAGTATGTGTTAACCCTGAAAGTAATTTATAAACAAAGTTAGAAATGTGGTTAAAATTACTGAAATAACCAACACAATATCCCATTTTACTTCGCTTCTATCTATGAATTGACTCAAATAAAAGATATATACATATTTTTACCGCTATAACTACGCACATATTTATAGTCTTATATTCGTAAAACAATATGTGGAATAACCTTAAGTCAAACAATAAATAAACAAAAAGCAGTCGTAATTCTAAATAGAACCAGAGATATTCTAATTTTTTATAAACTTAGGTGACAGAGTAGCTCGATGGCGTAGAGGATAAGCGCCGCGGCCCACGATCGTAGTCGTTAGGCAACTTTCGCAAGGGTCGGTCACGGGATGGGTGACCAAAATATTATTATCTCGAGCTACTCCGTGCTTCGGAAGGCACGTTAAGCCGTTGGTCCCGGCTGCATTTGCAGTCGTTAATACCCTCCAATCCGCATTGGGCCAGCGTGGAGGGTCATGGCCTATCCTCCTTAACCATTCATAAGGAAGGCCTGAGCCCCTGCAGTGGGGACGTAAAAGGGCTGGTGGTGGTAGGTGACAGATGCCGACCAAAATAAGTCAACACGTCTTGTTTCAGTTTTTGCAGTCAAAATGTTTAGGTGGCTAATGGTTTAAACCAAGTACTATCTCATACCTCGTTATATAATAAGATGGAAAAATTTATACCTCGTTATATAATAAGATGGGTATATAAAAGTGCAAGTTCAACTATTACAAAAAGTGCAACTATTACAGTTCGTAATTTGGTCATATTTGTGATATATCACATACCATACAATACCAGCTTCGACGTGTTTACTGAACTGCAAGGCATTATTGACGTTAGTAGTACAAATGCCGGCCGCCAGGCCAAAGCTGGTGTTATTTGCTCGGTCGATCACCTCCTCTAAAGTATCAAACTTTAGGATACTCTGCACAGGGCCGAAAATCTGAGGGCATAAGGTCAATGTTCTTAGAAACTCCGACAAAATTTTACTCAAGCGTGTTGTAAATATAACGCCAGTTGGATATTTTTTTTAACTAGCTTAAAAATATTTTTACATTTTAAGAAAACAGCAGACATTAAGAGTAAAAAGTTTTGATTTTAAGTGAAAAGACTTTTTTGATTCAATATTTTATTTATACTTATAAGAACTTCGCGTTTCACTTTTGTATATGAACATAGGTATTTAAAATTAAATAAACAATTCATAATACAAAAAACATGGTACCAATTTTAGTATCCATAAATTTATTGTAATCTACCAGATAATTTACTTTAATTCAGGCTTAATTTGTGCCCTTACAGACAAAGGACAATGTGTGTGAGGGAATTACAAAACCTTTAAAATGTGATCAATCATTTGATCTTGAGAGTGTGTATAATCTATGGATCAATAAAATTTACCTATTAAACCTACTTAGAATATCAGCCCATGGTTACACGTGGTAAAACCCAAAACACACGGCACAACTCAAATAATAAAACTGCAATTCTATTTATTTTTTTCTATCGCAACTTGAACGCAAAGCAGCACTCATTTATCAGTCGCAGTTGAAAACTTACGGTTCTATTATTATTGCAAACGTGTTAATTTTGTATTGAAATGGAAGTCAAAAAATTATTGCTTCGTGTGTGAATTACAGTTTCTAAAGTTTGAAGAAAGGTTTTGTTGCATTTGGATTGCGTCATCAGTTCTGCCTCTAAGATTAACTGGATTAAATGTAAATTTAACAGGTTTCTGTCTAATGTTGGGAAAATTCCTACCTCTTCTTTGGCAATGGTCATATTATCTTTCACATCAGCGAAGACCGTAGGCTCGATATAATAACCAGTGTTGCCAATGCGTTTTCCACCTGTCAATAACTTAGCACCTTCTTTCTTGCCTTGTTCTACGTATCCCAAAACCTTTTTTAACATCTCATCATCGATCTGCAAAAGAATGACAAATTTAAAGTTTACAGAATTTCATAAATCCCCAATTGGTCAATTAACCTTTCGATATTATTCGGATTATACGGGGAATGCACCATATTTATGAGAGTTATATATAATGAAAGTCACTTGTGAGCAATTATAATAAAAGGTATATATTTTATTTAGTTACTACAGTAATGTTCTTAAACTTATTTTAACATTGACAGCCAGTTGCAGAAACGTCCATTAAAATTTCCATTAGTTTAAAGTAACATTACCCATACAACTTTGACATTCAATAGAGCTTAAAGGAGTCCTTAAACCTTAATGGACGTTTGTGCAACTGGCCGTGAGTCTCTTTAAACTAATAAAATTATAGAAAAGGAAAGTAAAACTACAGGGAAATAATGGTAGTAGAAAGTATGGTGAAATCGTATGAGTGAGTACACGCGATTGGTATAGCGATCGGTTAAACACTAACTTTTACTTCAATGTTAGAGACATTGCGAAACATAATTTAAAATAATTATGAATTAAGTAGCTGGCAAATATTGCTGACGCGCGTTACCTGATTATTTATAATTAATGATTATTTATACCTATAATTATAATATCTCAATTAATTATAGCTAATTTGCTCTCGTTTTCAATTTACTACAGGCGCGTCTTTCCTTATTAGCCTTCACGGTTTCTTATTTCCCGTTAATGGATATTATGAAACGACCATAATGCATTGTATTATTTACTTAAATACTACTACTATTTATCAATGAGCAATAGCTCAAGCCTGTAACTTATCTCGTCGATTATATTGTTATTTAACTGATAGATAAAACTGTCTGAAGTAGATATTGTTCCATTCTATCGTATACAGTTAGATTGTAGTTTATATTAAAAACTAGCTGTTTTCCCGCGATTTCGCACGCGTAAATTATTGCATATGTTAACCCCGTATGACGTAGCTATCCGTGGGTGAAAGAATTTGTAAAATCGGTCCAATAATTTCGGACCTTTTTTGATGCAAACAAAGATACAAACAATCAAATCTTTCCTCTTTATAATATTAGTTAATGTGGATATAGGCAGGGGTTGTTGTAGTACCTGTGGCCCATGCTGCGTGGTGGGGTCATTTGGGTTTCCTATCTTCAGCGTTTGGGCGTACTTCACCGCCGCTTCCACGAATTTGTCGTAAATGCCTGACTGCACGTACAATCTAGACGCTGCTACGCACACCTGGCCTTGATGAGTGAACACACCATGTGCTGCCACCGGTACCGCGAGATTCACTGATGTCGCAAAAGGTTATATTGAAAATAAGAATGAAATAAAACTAACTACATTAAGTAAGTGCGTGGTTCCGTAAAAAAAATATCTTCTTATAGTTTTCATATTTATCTTCTGTGTTTTTAAAATCTTAGGCCCAATGATTTAAGATCGTTGAAACAAATAGTTACTATACCTACTTATATCAGGGATATTAAGAGATTCCTTAAGCGTAGGTAACCGAAACCGGTCTTATTATACCAACTAGTTGTTATCCCGCATCTTAGCCCAAATAAATTTAGCCTTTGTTTTTTTATTATCTGATCAGTATTGCTGAAAATTACCAAGTACAAACAAAATTCAAAAATTGGCTTCTTTCGTTGATTCTAATACCCAACATTTTGTTTCATAACATTCCTTAATTCTACAACAGTTTTGAACTGGAACCTTTTAAGTGCTCCACTATTTTATCTTATACATTTTTGTTAGAAAAACTTTGAATAAACATATTACGGTCAGCGTCGTCCATAATAACCAGAGGGCTCTTGCCGCCCAATTCCAAAGTGACGCGTTTTAGGTTGTTCACCCCGGCAGCTTGTTGGATAAGTTTGCCAACCTGCGATACAAACAAAGTTACAATATGGCGGTTAGATTCCGACCTTTTTTTATACGTCGGGGAAAATCTTTAAGCACAGTCCTTGCCGCCTGGCGAGTGGCAGGGGAGGAGCCCTAAACCCCTACAGTGTACCCTCTGCTGAGGAACCAATCCTGAGAAGCTGAGGTCGTGTCGCCAACCCCTGAATGGGTTAGATTCTGCCTAATTTTAGATATAATCTCTGTAGCCGATTAAAACTCGATGACGCCATGGGCAAGCACCTCGTCAGAGCTTTACATTCTAAAGAAACAATCATATTTTTATTTATTTTTAGGTATTTAAGAACACTACTTAGGTTTCTTTTTCATATACCTATGCTATTTTGTAAAAAAAAAATAGAAGGTCGTGAACCCACCGAAAATGATCATCGACAAACACGAGAATCAGGCGATATAGGTTACAAATCTCTTGTCACGAACAGTTTGCTTGAAGGATAATACTCCACTTTAGTGATCTTGTAGTACGAGTAAATAATACGAGTCACCGTCGATAAGAGTGTAACGTACAATACAGTTAACAGTCAGTAGGGGAAATCTGCTAATGTTAGCGTAGGCAATTATGGCCAATAGCGCTTGAACTACACCTACCCTTTATGAGACAGTGCTTGTTACTATATCATAAAATAATAAATATATCTGTCATTATTAACATGTGATTGTGAGAAAGAGATTGCACTAATAATATTGAATTTCAGATGGTAGTAGAGTATTACGTAAAAATTAGCAAAGTTAAGGCCCAGATTCCAAAAAAAAAACCACTTTAAATCATATTCCATTGAAAGAATACAAAATCGATCACAGAAAGATATTTTGTGGTAACTTGATGTGCAGCTGTCTGTACATGAATCGGAAACAACCATAACCATAGCTTGATTTTTTTGACGCGACTACACCAAATTCTGGATATGGACTTATCAGGAAATTATAATTTCTTAATTGTATTGGAGTTAGACTTGATTAACTGAGTGGTACAATAGATACCTGCAACAATAAATCCATAACTCAAGTTTCAAAATTTGTGCTAGCACTAGATATTTTTCCGCATCTTCGCTCGCGTAAATTATATCTTATGTCATTCGCGTATGATGTAGCTTCCCGTAATTCAAATAATTCTTGAAATCGGTGCAGTAGTTTCAAAGCATATTTGATATTTTTGATTTGATAATAAACACACAAACCAATCGAACCAGCCAAGAGGAAAAATCAAATCTTACTTCTTTTGAATATTAGTATAGACGAAAGCGTTAACGTATAAGTATATCAAACCTCCACGGATCCCGTGAAAGATATCTTCGCAACATCAGGGTGGTGTGTGAGTGATGCCCCGGCTGTATGACCATATCCTGGAACTACGTTGACCACGCCTTTAGGAACACCGGCTTCAGCGAGGAGAGCTGCTAAAGCTAAAGCGGTCAATGGTGTCTGTTCCGCTGGTTTCACTACCACAGTACAACCTGAAATCATATTGATAATTGAAACAAGAAACGTAGAAAAAGATTGGAAACATAACATTATTTGTCTGAAATCTCCAGTTCCAAGCATTTTTATTGCTGACTGTGACTACGTTAAGTGTGCAAGGTTGAATGTTTTATTTGTCTGTAAGTAAAAACACCGGCCAAGTGTGAGTTGAAAAGGCAATAATCGCGTTTATTTTTTGGCAGCCCTTCTAAAATATTTATTTTATTCTGTTTTATATATATGTATGTTGCTATAGCGACAACCGAAACACATTATAACTGTCTAGCTATCACAGTATAAAGCCTGGTGACAGACAACTAAGACTTAGTAACAGTGTCCGCCTTTACTCTTTTCGTACAGAATCCTAAAATTTATGATAAGAATAAATTATAAAGTAAATTAAAGTACTTACCTGCTGCTAAGGCCGTACAAACTTTGTTAACAAACATTGGCATTGGCCCATTCCACGGCAAAATGAGACCACATACACCAACAGGCTGCTTTAGAGTATATGTAAATAGGTCACCATCTGTAACATAAAAGTAAAACCATAATATTAGGGAAGACTATACACGAACTGACTATACAGAATAGAAACCGTGTCCGCCGTCCATGTGCCATTCTGTACCCCCCACCATGTAAATCTGCAGATTCCAAATTTGGCTTTTGCTAATAAACACCTAAATAAATTTCAGGATTGTCTACTAGACTTGGCACCCATTTACATATCAATACTTTGTCGATGGAGCTGACAATCACATTGAACTTAGTTATCAATTGTTAGATTTATGTTTTTGGTGGGATATACACTATTACGAGAGCACGATGCAGAAACAATAAGTCACGACGACACCAGTGCGACCATAGCTGAAGTATTTTTTCTCTAACGATGTCTGGGCTGGGCATATTGCTTTTTATTTTTTGTTTAGTTGCAGCAAAATAAATAAACAATGTGTCTATTAAAATATCAAAAATGTTTAATATTAATCATTTAATTAAATAGTTACCCGTGGGAATAGTGTCCCCTTGAATCTTATCAGCCAAGCTGGCTAAATATCTAACGCTAGCAGGCAGCATGCCCTGCGCCATGAACTTGCTGAAGCTGCAAATCATGCCGTTGTTGTATGTCTCTAAGCTGGACAGATACTCCTGATCGCGCTCAATAAGATCAGCAAACTTATTTAGGAGACGGCCTCGTGCTGATGCGTCTAACAGACGCCATTCCGAGTTGCGATGGAACGCAGCCTTCGCTGCGGCCACTGCAGCTGCTATGTCATCCTGTATGCCAATTGCCAAAGATATTTCACTTTACCTAAATTCTCACCACTATACTGAGTTAAGGCTGGGCTGGTCAAGATAATGAGAAAACATATACTTACTAAAAAAAACGGTGTATACCCTCTATAACAGCTTCTCTTACTTTGACAAACATAAATAATTCATATTTGCAACAATTCAAAATACTTAGTTTACTTTTAAATCAACTTGGTCATCCACACTCAGTATAGTTATGCAAAATAATTTTAATTTTTGCTTAATCATGCTGAGTTTCTACAAAAAATAAGAAAACTTGTGTTTTTTTCCTTTTATCATCAAGTAAAAAAAACATATAAATAACAGTTTAAGATCGTATCTTAGAGGTTTGAGTTGTGTTATCAGAATTTATAACTTTCTTACAAAGCTGCTGTATATACCTACGTGCCTGCTTACAGAAACACATTCGGTTATCATAAAATAGTAATCGTTTGCAGTCGATTTTCAACTTTCAACTCTAGTAAGTGTCTAAATCTAATTGAAGATTTTTTTAGTTTTCTACAAAGTGCGGTTGACTGCAGCTCGAGTACAACAACATGAGAACATAATCGGCTATACCGTCTTAATTTTCACAACGTCGCCGTCAGCCTATCCGATTATTGAGAACGGACCATAACCACTACGCAAGTTCAGGGGGCCAATTCTACTAAATAAATTTTGTCTAAATCGAATCTAAAACGGATCGAAACCGAACGAAACCGATCGAAACTACAGTTTTTAATGGTTTTTCTATTTTACTAAGGGACATACGATACAATTTCAGCTAAAATAGAACTGGAATCGTATCGTATGTCACTTTGTAGAATAGTAAACTGTAGTTTCGTTTAGTTTCGATTCAATTTAAACAAATTTTATTTAGTAGAATTGGCCCCCAGTGCGGAATAAAGGGGACTGCAGATGAAACCAAGACCAACGGTGAGCCTTCCGAAGCACGGAGGATCTCGATATAATAACTTTTTGGTCACAGAGTTATGCTTACGCAATCGAACTCCTCAATTTGTCACACATAAATATTTGCTTCGTCATGAACATTCTGAATCTGGGATCCATAATAAAAATGCCTTATCATGATGATTCTGAATCATCATGACGAGCCAAATTATTATACCGTGTATCAATATGCAAGCTAGACATACAAACAAATTTTCTGTTATGTCTATTTCGGTCATTGCAATTATCCGTGACCTTAATTAAACCTTGAAGATTTGTTTTGTAAATTGTCCGCAGCATTGTGGATGCAAAATTAATGTAATGCAATAATATCACTTATTTTTATTGCGACTGCAGAAAAAGAAACTAAATCAACAGGCTATTCAATGAGACAGATAAGAGCAGACGATAGAGTTATTGCGTGAAATAGAGAAGAGCTTGAAGAACAAATTTTTTATCTCTTACGTATTTATCAATTTTCTCTAAAGAGTAAAATTGCGAGAGGAAAGGGAAGGAAAAAATTGCGGTATTTTTAGGTAACTTTGTAATTTTTTCTATACTTAATTAACATTTTGATCCAATAGTCTAGACGTCCCTTTTTTGGTTGTTTGTCACTAAACCCGGGAAATTATGCTTTTTGTAACAGTAAAAACGAGAAATAAAAAAGCTTGACATAAAAAAATTGCAGAATTCTCATTTTTTGGTTTCTTCTCTTAATTAATAAAAATAATAATAATTGCACGCTAGACAGGACATATTACAGAGAAACTAGAAAAAAGAGAGAGATTATAAAGGGCGACCGCGACGTAGCAATCTCTTCCAGGAAACCCGAGGAAAAGAAAAACATGAACTATATAATTAAAAGAGGAGGGTGCAAGATGGAGAAGTAAATTGATATGTCTTTATAATGTAATATAGTAAATAAAATAGAAAGATAAAAAGTAATTAAACATAATTAGTGTTTATATATTGAAAATAAATAAATAAAATACCACCTTGTAACTCGGCGATATAATTATGCAACACTACCAATAGCCATAATGGTTTACGAATAATCTATAGGTACTAACATTATAAAAAAAAAAGATTTGTCTGATTGCATCGAATAAGCTCCGAAACTATGTAATTGCACCGATTTTAAAATTTCTTACACCTACGAGAAGCTACATCACGCGAGTGATATTATAGGCTATAATTTACGTTGACCAAAACTGCTAATTAAGTATTTTTTACCCGCAATTTCCGGGCATTATGTTATTAAATAAATAGGGAGAGTTTAACTTTATGCCCAGCCTTAAGCAGAATAGATCTACAAATTACCTTGTCTCCTTCTGCCACTTTAGCAATAACAGATCCATCGTGGGGATTGTAAGTGTCGAATGTCTTACCGCTTTTTGATCCAACCCATTCATTGTTAATGAAGATCTGGAAAGAATATTTCATTATAAAATGCGTAACTTACTCAAATTTAATTTATACCAGAGTTTCTCAAATTAGGATACGCAATAAGGGGTTTGCCGTCTATACAGTAGGAAGTTCGCGACTTGACAATTAATGTTAAAAATGTCCTAAATTACTCCTAAAATTCACTCAATTTGAGAGAAAAACCCTCATCACCATCACATTAGACAACATTAATTAAAGAGACATTTTAACAACCAATTTTAATATTTAGGATTTTATTAGTTAAGGCGTACCTACGCTGTCATCTGGAATCTTTGTAAGTGGAGCCAAAATGTTGAGAAACTCTGCTAAAATACTTAGCATGCCGTTGCTCCGATACTAGGATATTCATGCAGTATGCCTCATCATGCAAATAACGCAATATGATTACCTAGTTCGTTAATATTCTCTTCACAAGTATAATACCAGAATAGAAACTCTACTAGTGACAGTGGAGATTAACTGTCCAAGACCTGCTCTCGGAAGGACGCCTCGTGCAATGACCCTAGTAGTTATTTATTCAAATAAAATTGTTATTTAACCTCCGTAGCAATGGTTCAGACGCCGGATTTAAAGTGTACCATCTCTGAGATCCAGGATTTGATTATTCGACTTTCGACTTCGAATGTTTATTTTTTTAGCTTACCCAGAAAAAAAGGACAGGTGAGAATCGTAGTAAAAAATGAATAAGAGGTCTGATGCGGAATTAATGCAGCAGAAATATTTTTGTAGTATCTAATGTGACTGCTATACAAGCATCGTACAGTAATAAAAAAATTACTGTGACTTTGGAATATCAAATAATGAATCTAGTACCTACCTAATTAAATTATTGTTTGATAACAGTCAAAAACACCGGTAGCGAGAACCAATAAAATTTTGTTTAAATAATGCAAAAGTTACTGCAAAGACTTAAAAAGCTGAGAAGAAAAGCTTATAAAAAAATTGGTTTAAACTCATTATTAATCTTGTATAAAAATATCAATTGAGCATAATGATTGTATAATTTGTGAAATACTCAATTATGAGTAAAACTATTATCTAAGTAAAAATATAATAATAAAAATCGTTCAGTTTCACGTCACAATAAAGTATATTCAGAACAATACTAACATATGTGTGTACTTACTTTAGTATATTTAATTTCTGGAGCCATGTTACGAACAACGAACAAACAACACACTATGCAACCTAGAGCCGGCCGACTAACAAAAATAATCACCAACGAAACCGGTTGATATTAAGTGAAACATGTCTCTCGGTAAGAAGAGGGGAGGGCAAGTTTGAAGGAGTGGACAAAATAGAGGCTTCATATTATTTGACAAAATACGCTTTCTGTTGCGTTGCATGTGATGTCTACTACGTACGAAGTAAAAAAAGACGTTTCATACTGTACTCATATAATTAAAACAATCACATACTTTTATTAGATAGTTTATCAGGATCTACATACGTTGTTATATGGTATTGATCACAAAATAAAAGAAAAAGGAATAAAAAACCAAGGTTTTCTCCATTTTTATCCTCGATTGCACCATCTTCTATATTTTCTAAGTTTCCTTTTTAAAAACATACATACTTATCTATTTTTCTTGTTTTTATATATACGTAGATTAAAATTGTGAAGGAAATAAATAATTATTATTATGGATTTTTTGCCTTTTTGTTTGCTCTCTGTGGATTCAAATGAGTAGCCATTTCTTATAAAAGTAGTATAAATTAAGAAGTGGGTTCCTGATAATCCAGTTAAAATAAAGGGTGTGTAGAAGCGGCCTTACGAATTAATATTATGAAAAAATCAGATCTCACAGATTTGTTGTTTTAAATGGGTGAGAAATATTACTATTTTGTTTTGTAAGTATCTAGGGTATATAAGCATTGGGTAAAAGTTACGTTTATATAATTACAATACAAGCATACCGATAAAATGGAGGGTGTCATTAAAAATAAAGAACTTTTTTATTTTTTTATTTATTTAAAATTCTCTATAAAATAAATATATATTTATATAGGTATTGTAATAAAAATAAAACTATTTTTTAATGTATTCCAGTTAAGTAGTTAGTAACTACACAAAGACCTTCAATCTGCCTCTCTTCCCCTATAGTATATAAAAAAGAATGGTACAAACCATTTTGAATCTTATGCTTAAGGTAACACGGCTAGTGATTCAAATATAAACTGCGTACCAAACCAACAGTTGTAACTCGACTGTATTACGTAATATTTTTAAAGAAAATCCTAGCTGTAAGTATTCATTATTTAAATAATAAAAACAATCGTATCTATAGCAACAATCAGGTAGGTACTTACCAATATGTTTTGGCAATTTGCAATGGTTGATAAATGGATTGATTAAAACAAAATGTGTTATCAATAAATTTTATTATATTATTCATCATGAAGATTATTCTGATCGATTTACACCATAGGAATGCATGACATGAGTACAAAATAGTACATAATATAAACAAAATAAATTAAGTACTAAGTATAATTTTTATCGGTATCTGTAGTACTTACATATTGTAACATATATTAAAGAGAAAAAGTCAACATAATAAAGGCAATATAAACAATTAAAAAGCTATGGTCTATCATATAAACCTTAAATATAATTTTTATTTTTATGTACTTCCCACCAAGAATGATATCAGCTGTAACGCCTTTTTGAAATTCTACTACAAAAATAGTAAATGCGAAGTTTGTTAACTGAATGCGTATCGCAGACGAATGAAAATTAATACCTATTGTCAAGAAAAAGTCACATAATTTATTATATATCGCGAGTACATAAAAATTATATTATATCAAATATAGTATATAAAAATTTGGAAACAGCATTTTCCAAATTTTTATATACTTAATATGTTGCAGCAGAAAATGTTTGTCTAATCAATAAACATGTAGAGTAGAGATATAAAATCAGTGGCGTTTTTTAATATAATTATAGTGTTTTTATACGATATGACAGGAACATCCTGCACCTTTTTATGGGCGTTATCATTGTTAATGATATTTATTAAAAATTTAAATACTTTAAATATTAGCATGGATTTTGTACTATCACCAGCACATCAGGTAACCTGCTAAGTATGCCCGTTATATATTTGTTTAAATACAAAAAATCGCTGAATAGCTTTAGGCTTAAGAAAACTATTATGGTAAATATTTAAGTATGCCCGTGACATACATACAAGTATTTAATAAATCAAAACACTGTATTAACCGCTAATTATAGTGCATAAACTGCATCAGGTAACATGTAGACCTTAAAAAACTGTAATAGTTTCGATCTAGCCTCCGTTTGAATTTACAGTCAACGGTACTTCAGGATATAACTACGTGACTGGCAAACTTAATTTGATTTAAAACCTTAACTCATTAAGAGCACAATTCAAAATCAACTGCGGGAAGACATCGTAGTACGGATTAACTCGAGATAATAATTTTTATATCACCCATCCCGTGACCGACCATTGCGACAGTTGCTTAATAACAACGATCGCGAGCCGCGGCGCTTATCCACTACGAGTAGACCCCGTTGAAATTTTTCTCAAAAATTTTAAAACACCTATAAAAAGCTTTCGACATTTAACGTAATCGTTACAATTAACGTAGAATTATATTCAGCTGCAGCTAAAAATATCGGGCCCGTGACCGCGCCCTTTTTCTTGATAAACACAAGTAATCTTCCAAATCCATTTGGATCTCTACAATTTTTCGATATTTAAGATGAAAGGAAAAGACAAACTAAGATACTAACATAATAAAGAAAGAGGAAAGATTTCATTGCATATTTCTTTGCATGGAATAGGTCTTGAAGCTACTAGACCGATTTTGAAAACTCTCACCTGCGGGAAGCTACTTCAAAAACGGGTGACATAGGCTCTTTATTTTTAAAAACAACATTTCTCAACCTGAATCCACTAATTCTCGCATTTGATGAGTTGGTTTTGATATTGAATGATAATTTCTAAACAATTTGAAAAACCACCTTAGAAGTGGCTTTTGAAAAGAAAATATAATAGTAATTAAAAGGGAATTAAAATCGAAACACTGCGTTGATTGGTACCGTTGCTAGTATAATTAACCAAAAACAGCTGTACATACCTGCTTTAACAGGGAACCGCTGCTGAATATAATACAACGCTTACACGTATATATTTCGCACATCATAAGCCTAAATTGGCATGGCAAATTTAACTGTTAAGATATTAAAATGCACATTGTTTAAGTTTATATGTTGCAGAGGTATACTAAAAACAGAAACTTGATCTAATCACGAAGTATCAACGCACAGATGTTAAAATTTTTGACATTTCTCTAAACAAATATAAAGATTTATCACTTTATTAGATTTGTCACAAACTAGTTCAGAGGAATGACGAAAAATATATATGTATGCCCATAAGAGACTGTTCCTGTCTCCAAATAATTTGATAAGTTTGACTTTAAAACTGGCAGCCGGTTTCTGAATTGAGAAAATTACACAATCTCAACTGATTAGTTTCAATAACTAAGTTTTTTAGGTTTCAAAAGTCAAAAGGTCCTAGTTTTATCAAACTATCAATTAAAAAAAAACTAAAATCAGAAACGAACACCTATTAGAGTGACGTTTTAGTACAGTTTAAAACATTCTTAACTTTAAATTCTTAATTCAGAAACCGGTGGATGGTAAACGAGTCCGAAATAGAAGTAAACTTGCTCATGACAAAATATATTGAAATTATGATATGCATTAATTTTAAAATCAATATAAGGTCAAACTAACTCCTATTAGACCATCAGAGGTTTTATTGTCGATATCTTTTTCATATCAAAATTAACATAATTATTAATTAACAATTGAACTTGAATAGCATCTTAATTTGAAAAAAAAAGGCATTTATAGGCTTAATTTTATAAGATTTAGTATATCGAATATTGAATTTTATAATATTAAGAATCCGAGATGAACATTCTGAGTACTTCAGAAATTTCAGTTCTGATAAAAATTCTAAAAAGTTTATGTGACGTTATTTGTGCATGATTGAAATAGTTCGAATAATTTTAGAATTAAATTTATATAGTTAGGCATCTTCTATCACATCATACCCTAAACTACAAGTTCTAGTATAATATAATAATACTATATTTGCATATTTTTTATATATCTTAGTTGCCATATTATGTAAAAAACAGTAGAACGATTTTTAGTTAAAACAATGGATGGGTAACACAACCTGAATGTTGTCACAAATCAGAACTTTTATATTGGGCTGATAAGCGCAGTTAGTTATATTAAGTAACAAATATTCAAATGATTAAGACTCTATACTCAATAAATATCAATTTACTTTTCACTTTATTTTAATTGAGTCTGATGGTGAAAAATATAACTTATACAATAATGTAGTCTGCAACATAATAAAGCTCAATCACTCGATATATGTATTAGATAAATAAGAAATTTTAAGTCTTATCTTTTTATTTTCAAGGTGGTTTCGTATATGTCTGTCACGATTATAATAAAATCAAATATACAAGTGATTTTTTGAGATGAGAAATACACAGTACGGAGAAAATCGTAACTTTCAATATGTATTCAAAATCCTGCGACATACACAAGTATGTTTCTAATTAAAAATCAAAGAATTATTTATAACATCGAGTATCTTATGTAACTCAATTCTCTACCTATAAAAAAAATAATCCATCTCATAAAATCACAATGTACACTGAATAATTATTTACTTTACAAAAAGGTATAGTGTAATCTAAATAACATTCAAACAATCTCTGTACAAATACAAAAATATATTAGCTGTAGATTAAATATGGCATTTATTCCACAATTATAAAAGCTCGACTGATCACACTCGCTCAAATTTAATTATGAATACAGAACATCTCTTTTCAACAGGTTTCTTAAATAGTAATAACTTACTGTGACATTTTTAGCCATAATTGCGACTTTCACTGTGTAAAATAAGTATATAGTTGAAATAAATCAATATTTCACATATTTTTCAGATCTCAAATTAAGTAGCACTTGTGTTATGGAAATCTGAAAAACACCCAGGATAAATAAATACAAAGAAACTTCTTTTTCTACCAATGTAGAAAAAGAACTACGACCGGGAATCGTATCCGTAACCTAAAAGATGGCTACATGTTGAAACTTAAAATCAATATGATATTTAGCATTTGAAATCATCACAGTTGTTGTTATTGCAAGAGATGCACCGTAATCAAGATCTATTTTGAGAATGTAATACAAAACTGAGCTCATATGGTACCGATCAAAAGTAAACTTTGGTTATATTTCTTTAATACAGAATTCATGTTATTCCTATATATTAAACATACATTTTTTATATTGACATGGAATGTATAAATCACAATAATTTTGCATCACTACGTTTCATCTTAATTTCATTATAAATTTTCACGCCTACATAAAATTTTGCAATGTACAAATGTGCAGTAATAAAGTAAAATGGCACAATTTTTGTAATAGCACATAGTGCAATTGAGGGGCACGCTTTTTTAAATAAAAAAGCACCCAAACAGTTTTCACACTACAATAAAATTTTATTACTTGTTATATTGAGCCCTGTGAACGTTTTCTGCATGAAGACTAACTAACAATAATAGTACGATTAGAACATAAGTAGATGCATTTTCTTTAATCATACAACCTTAGACGTAACATCATATCTATTATAAAATCAACAGTCGACTTGTTTCGTTATTCTTTCATATTAATAACTAAAAATATTATATTAGGGTTGGTGCACATTTAGCGATATTTTGCTACTACAAAGTAAAAAAATGCAATAAATATACAACTAATGCAAAATGTTTCTTTGAAGACGAAATATGACAAGACAATAAATGAAATACTTTCTTAAGTAGTTCACATTAAGAAGTATTAGACGGAGATCAGAAAAGTGCAAGTTTTTTGTAACAGCAGATACTTCGGTATGCTGAAGTACTAAAGGTATAAACATCACTCGGTACTACTATATTTGTTTCTTCCACTAAATGAGAGTGAAAATTTCTCAATTAGAGAAAATATAGTTAATATATTGCAACCATTACTAAACACTTTTTCAGGGTTGATTTTCATACCAACGTCCAAGAACAACAACAGAGTGCAGTCTGAGCAGTTCATTCAATATTTTTATATCAAGAAAAAGAATCTGTTACTATTGCGGAGCACTTTTAATTTCGTGTTATTATTTTACGTACTTCACTTTCACCATCAATTTTTCCAGCAGCGGACAACTCGGCTACCCAGCACTTGGTACTGTGTGATGTACATTCAACCGTTACTAAATACTTGCAAATTACTGTCACGAGCTCTTGAACTATACAGTTCGCATAAACATTGGGAGTTGTAACATCGCAACACAACGCTAAATGTGCATTCGTCTATCTGTACACTTATTGGTAAATATAATAATAACAAAAAAACAGACCTGGAAACAATTTATGACACGTATTTATGTAAATTTTAAGACAAAGAATACATGAAAATATCTCAATGGCATTAAAAATGTCTTAAAAGAACTCAAAACGTACCTTAAGCTAACTTTACAATTTTAGTAAACAATGCCATACGTCGAAGTGTGTTTAATGAAAAAAAAAATCTAGTATTGTGAGTCGCGACCTAATTGTCTAATTTTCAAATCTATTGCAATCCCTTTCAAAGGTATTATAGTTATATTTAAGTTAAAATAGTGACGCCATCTAACCAATGCCAAATAACCTGCTCAAAAGTGGGGGAACCTGCATTAAAAAAAAAACCAATGCCAAATGGCGCAACCGATTATTTGTTTAACCGGTACTTTAACATGTTTGTTATTGTAAAATAAGTTTGTGCAACCGAGAAGACGAATTCCATTAAAGCTAAATTAACGATATCGTTCATTCAATGTCTTTCAAGAAAATTCACATCTTAGATAGATGTAGTTGAAGTTCGTGTATAACTTTCAAATATCAAATTGAAAAGAATTGCTAGATAGATTTTTAAATTAGACAATTAGGCATCTGCTGTCACTACTTTCAAGCTCCCAAACAACCATCATGAAACACACTCGAGCCCTCAAGTTTTAGTGTAAAAACGAAATTATATAAAACAATCCGAAGTAGTTTAATAACAAACAGCTTCAAGAATGATTTGTTTTTTTTCGTCCTAATTCCGTTCTTAGTTTTAGTGTAACGTGTAGAGTATGTGCTATAATCGCTGACACCTAAATCTTGTCGCACAAGCAGCGACATCTGGTGAGCACTTGGAAGATTCCCTCTTAACAAAAATCAAATTTTGTTATGTTTCTTTGTGTCACCATACTAAGTTGGCTCACGTTTTATGGCATCTTTTTGAACTTATGTATATAACAGCTAAACTCGACTAATAAAAATGCAAAATTCGACTCGATCGCGTAAGGCAAAAGACTTCAGACTACAAATACATTCATCTTTTTTTTAACAAATAAAAGAGAGATAGCAATATTCGTGCGTTTCGTAAAGCAGCTCCTAATTTCATAAAGATATAAAAACATGTAGACTTTTATTCACAATAAGCAGAGGTTAATTTTTGCGTTCTAAAATGTTACAATCTATTATACATTAATCAGGCACATATTGCCCTAAGTACTTTTATCATGCCTTTTCCGTTGCCTTTAGATTTATTTACAGCACAAATCATATAAAAGTAACAATATACATCACAAAAGCTTATAAATTTGTATTACAAAATAAAATGTTACATATAGCTCTCATTACAAAGCGAATCGTAATACACCTTATACAAACATGAAACATCTATCGTATTATATACAGAAACAGCATACGTAATGCTAGATATCTATAGGCCCAATTAATAAATAAATCTGATAGTGAAATAAATAACTTTCATCATATACATCTTCCTTGATGTTAATGTAATAACTACAGTATTTTTATGTGAAAGTTTGAAGAGAATAAAAATAAAAATCCCTATTGTTAAATTTACTTTTTTCGCCATAGGTTGCCGGGAAAAGATTGCTGTTTAGCAATAAGACCGCCTATTGCTTATTTTATCTCTACTGAATGTTTAGTTTTATTTATTGTAAACTGTATTATTTTGAGTGCAATAAAGCACACAAACAATGAATTCATATAAAAACCTGCTTACTTTGGCCGCAATTTAATAATAATTATTGAACATAATCAAAACGATATATGACAAAAACAAACTTATTTCACTACCATAAAAATTGTCACAAGAGGCCTTCCAAATTTTCACTAACTACATATGAACATAACTCGAATATTCCCTCGGGTTTGTGCTGCCACGTGACAATCGCCGTAGTGGCGGCGGCAATAAAGGCTACACTTGCGTGACACAATGTGCTAGTTTCTCGATCTCCGACTGTAAGGCTTGCCTCTTCTCTGACTCGGCTTTTAGTTTAGTGGTGAGGTCTTCTAGGGCGGTTTTGAACATCGAGTTTTGAACTTCAATGAGCTTCTCCAAATTTGATATCTGGAACGATGCCGTTAGTTTAAATTTACTGCATAAATTATAATTTTTACAAACAAAAATTATCATCTCTGTCGCCATTAACCTGTTAATGTCACAGGCTTTTCCTATAGATGAAAGCAAAGAGGATGGACGGGCCAAACCATTCACGCGACACCAGTGCAGACTGTTGGGTTTTAACAACTGCAGGTGTAGTAGTAGTGTAAGCAATAGTAAACAACTATACGTTTGGGGTGACGACAATTTTTTTTGTTCGTTCGTCAGGTAGACTGTTGTGAAAGTGTCACATGTATATGTTTATTTTTGGCGTAATCATAAATCCTACTAATATTATAAATGCGAAGTTTGTGAGGATGGATGTATGTATGTCTGTTACTGTTCCACAAAACTGGATGGATATGGATGATATTGGTATACCGATAATTAAGCCTGGATTAACATATAGGCTACTTCTTATCTCGCTAAACAGTTCCCTAGGAACCACGCGGGCGAAGCCGGCGGAAAGCTAGTTAATAATAAATACATTGAGTTAAAATGTCACATCACACAAACTTTTCTAGTAAAGTGTGACGAAGCAAGCCTCCATTTCTAATTTTTCTATTATCCGACAGAAGGACTAAAAGAAAACTCTTTTTTTTTACCCGGGCATCATGCCTATACAAATGCTGGAATCAACGACATATAATTTTGTATGTTTTTCTATCACAAAATTCATTCAAGACGCTTTCACTGACAAATTTACTATGTCAGCCAAGGAATGGGCTGCGAAATAATAGAATACCAGTCGTACTTGTACAACGATTTACTACTAGTTAATAAGAATTGTTGGTGTCTAGTGTGAATGTAGTTAAAGAAAATTTCATTGCACAAGAGATCGGTCGGCAATCTTTTAAGAACTGGAGCTGGACTTTGTCTGAATATTCGCAGGTGAGCGATCCCTGCTGTAGTATATCATCATTAATTATTTTTTTGTGCTACTATCACCCAATTTCTGAATTAAGTATTTAATGTTAAGAAATCTCAAACGTTACGTGAACAAGCTTTCGTTTCTGATTTGTTTCTTTGTTGATTAATTGATAGTAGTTTGATTGAACTATGACTAATAACCACATGAAACGTAAAAAAACTTTAAGTTATTGAGAATAATTAGTTGAGATTTCGTACTTTCCTCAATTCAGAAATCGACCGTATAACGTATAAACTATAAAGTTCGCTTACCCTACTGTTAAGTTGCGCAATTAACACGTCAGTTCCTTCACTCTTTTCGTTTTTCTCTTTCTCGTCTTTAACGGGTATCTCATTCTTCTCGACCCTATCTAATTTCATAGATAGCAGACGTCTCTCTAACGTGTTGAAACCACTCTTATCACCACTGGACAAAGTCGGTTTCTCTGTAGTCTCTTCTACTTTCTCTATACGTTCTATAGTGTTGGACTTCTCGAATAAGCCTGAAGATCTGTTGACTAAATTCTCGATCTTCTCTGTCGTGATAACAGTCTTCTCTGTCTTTTCTGTCCGACTGTTAGGTGATTTGTCTATAGTTTCGGCGGTGGGTCTAACTGATGCTACTGGAGGGGGCGGAGCTTGGGGTTTCTTTATTTCGTCTAACATAGTCATTAACGTCCGACCTGAAAATGTGTATTCATCAATTACTACTTACTTACTTACGCGATTATTTCAACTTAACAGCACGTCAGGTCACTATAATATTGTCTTGTTTTGATTAGGTTTGTTTATTTACTAGCGTGTGACGTCATAGGAGTTACAACTATTTTACAGGGAGTTTTCGTCTAAGATAAAATTTCAAAAATTACTTATTTTTATTTTATTTAATCTGCAAAATTTATAAATTCTTTCGTTCAAAATAAAGTGAAATGATCTTTTCGGATTACCACAATTTTTAATATTGCCTAATTCCCTATTTTTGTTTTCCTTATGCACGATAAAACAATAATAATAAACAAGTAGAAACCATGTTTGGAAAAATAAACAACGAGTCACCATTCACGCGAATATATTTTCACATTTTTTCTTTAATTGACTAAACCTCGCTTGGCAAAAAAATAAAATCACTGGCTACTCAACAAATATTATAATAATAATAACCTGCAGCGGTGGGTGAATGTATGGTGGGTTTAGGCGGTAGTTCTTCCCTCTGCGTCGCATCTTTCTTAGAGTCTAAAGAATGTCGCACTTTTGTTGACTGCAACAAAGTATATATTTTTTAAGTAACATATTTCATATCATAAATAAAATACACTTATACAGTATTTAAAAAAATAGCGTTACCTCATCGAAACTTTCTAATATTGACATTCGACTACTGATAGACGAAGTGCTCTTTGACATCTCCATGGAATGTGTCGATCGTTTCTCATCCAAGCCAATATCCAAAATCCTGCAACAAAAACGTCGTTTCAATCTTATGCAACTTTCTCATAAACTGTAGATCACATTGTGAACAGTAATAATGCGGCTAGCACACCTAAAAATTCGCTATCGCTATAAATTTTGACTCAATATTATGTTATGACGTCATTCATGACTAGGTTATGACGTCATTCACGCCGAAACGAAAGCAAAGTTCATTTCTGTTTTATTTTCTATTATATAGTAAACCCATGACAACGTTTATACCTATGAACTTCGTAGAGAACGAGTACTTTACACTTTTTTTTTATATTCTACGCCCCTTATACCTCCTCATTTTCATCACCAGTCTATTAATGTCCCCACTAGCGGGGCTCAAGCCTTCCCTATCGATGGAGTCGAATTGTATTGGGAGAATGGGCTATGACCCATCACGCGGGCCCATTGCGGATTGGTGGGTATTAAAGACTGCAGATGCAGCCGGAACATAGCATTTCCTAAGTTGATTTTCACAATAAATTGGCACGATTTCACTAATAATAAATATATCTAATGTCTCTCATTTCATTATTAGTTTAAGTTATATTTAAAAAATCCTTTCCGTTTGTTATCGCGTTATTACATACATGTTATTTTTTCATTTTTTTTTTTATTTACAAATAAATAGAATCTTTCCAAAAATTCATGCATTAAATTAATAAATAATTTATCTCCTGCCTTTTGTGCTATCTATACTTTCTATTTTCATATCACGTCACGCGGCTATTACTTAGACTATACTCCATTCATTATAGCATTAGACAGAAGTGAAATAAGGTTCTTTTTATGGTATACTTTGTGACATAATATCAATAATCATGTTACTTTTAAGACTGACGGCTAATTTGCTACATATTCACTTAAATATCAGCTACTATACTTAACTGTTGTCATTTAAGCTAACTATTAAACAAATTTATGAGTATATGACTAACTTAAATGATTTAATAAGTATTACAATAAAAAGTGTCCATCGTAAAGAACCTAAAGAAGCAGGGTTGGATAGTTTCGGCACGATTCTCATGTAACTATAACTCTACCAAATTTAAAACGTTGCCTAACCCCTTCAAGCGTTTCGGTAGTACAGCTTTTTAATTTTGTCAGACTATTATTTTTATTTATATTATTATTTAATTTCAATTTATTGATAATAACATATAAGCTGATTATTTTTGACATTTGATATATAATAATTGACTTTTGAATTTAATTTGTTATTTGTTGATTTTGTAATGTGTATCACTGTTGTATTTTTGTAGAATAATATATTAATTGACGCCTATGTCTTGTAACTGTTGTTTATTATTATGTGATTATAATTATAATTGTATTGTATTGTATATAATTATAATTGTATTGTAACTAAATAAATATTGTTATGTAAACGCATATGGAATATCTTAATACAAATGCTGTGCATGTCTGTAACTGTCATAAATGCTAGGTAAGTGTCATTTAAAAGGTTTACTGAATTATTTTTGTATTTGTGATATTGACGTGCCTTGAGTAAATAAATAAATAAATTATTTATTAATAATTGTTAAAATCGTAATCTGGGATTGTCATCCATTGTGAATGCTACTGCTTTTCTTGTTGTTTAGCTGTTTTCCGTGATGTTATTGTTTTATTTTTGTTGTTAAGTTTTGGTAAATATGGACGATGTCGGTACAGGCCCGAGTGGCCTACAAAAATTACGCTCTAGGCCCACATACCAACCCTCAAACTTTGACATTTCAGGGAGTTTTTCCAATGTCTTCATCAATAGTCTAACTTATTACACTTATAATTAGAATTTATCAAAACACACAGATAGTTTCAGTTTTATTTCCATGTTGGCTTGGGACTAAAAGATGAATTTATAAAATGCTGGCCTCATCTCAACCCCGAGGTATCATAAAAAATGAAAAATTGCCCAGCTATTTCAGACTACCTAACGTTCAAAGTTTCAACAAAACTAATATAGATTTTTTAATTTTATCTTGAAAATAAAATGTTCTGCACTGCTGCTTCTATGTCCCTCTTTTTTCTAATGTTATAGTGAATGGAGTATAGGTTCCAGCGCATTAGCAATTTACGGGACTTATACCTATCCGTGCTGCCGGCAGCTGGAGCCCGTCTTTGTTCCGCGAGTCCCGTCTTCTTGGCCTGGTTCAGTTTGAGCTCTTCCATCCAAGGGGCTTTGTGTTTCTCCCATTCACGAGCGCGTGGTTTTATTTCGTCCGCTTTATCCACCACTGATTTTTCTGAAGCTGCAACGACAACACTCATTTTAAATTTGGAATTACGATAGTGATTTTATTTTCAAAGGAGGTGGGAATGCGAGAAACTCGTAAGTTCTAACTGATTTTTTAATTTTCATCTCATACGAATCGAGAAAAAAAGCCTACCAAGTGCGAGTTTTCGAAACCATATTCGCACAATATGGTTCCGTACCGAAATTGTTTATTATAAATATGTGATGGTGTAAATTTTTATTTACAGAAGCACTTCGTGCAACAATATAACTAGATAACACTTCGCATACTAAAACAATACTCAAATACTGCACCATACACTGCGACCACCAAGGAACATAATACCACACAGGGTTATTATTAAACTAGATTTCCCGATGGAGTAAATTTACGCTGAGACTGCACTTAGCATTAGTTAAAATTCATATTATTTAACAGAGACGTATCAGAGATTAACCTAGTATGAGGTTATACGGGAGTAATATTTACTCCGAGAAGGTATCAGGTTTGCTAATTCTGCGTATAATATTAATTTGGACCAATACCTACTAAAATTACAATTTAACGTAAACTTATTCCGACGCTAATCCTTGTTTATTAATAGCACTGACAGAATATACTGTTATAATACTCTAGGCGACTCGCGTTGAGTCGCGTTGTCAATTTTATTTTATTAAAATATATGTATAATTATAAACGGAAGGGACCGGAAAGCAATTAGATAAAAAATTAAATTGTGTGTTAAAAAATTAAATTAAAAGCAAGTTTAAAGATTATTCACTAAATATTTTTGCTAAAGAATAATAATTTCACTTTTAAAGTAATCAACAAAAATATAATCTTCCAATATTTTTAGTCTGTATTTCACGTCTGAAGAAATACCAATCAGGGCGCATGACGTCATTTGTGGGTAAAATGATAGTAAAATTATCTAGGAAAAACGCAAGAAACATTCAAAGTGCAAAATGATTTTAGGGATTTACTTGATTTTGATCAATTTACAAGGGTCAGTCTTCTGTATTACTTAAGAGTTTGACTATACGTATTGAAAATTATAATTCATTTTTTTTTTCACTATGAATCCCTTTTATTTGGTCTATTTACGCGGTTTATTTAAATTTTAAATGTTGTTTTGGGTACATAATTAAGGTGAAATTTAGATCAAAAGAAAATGAAATAAGCACACATACAGACTAATTTAAAACAGTTTTTAGAAAGTTATCCAATCCCTGTTTAGGGAGGTGGGAGGTTTTTAATGTAAACAACAGTACGATTATAAAACCTATCTTTTATCTTTGCATACATCAAAATTTAAAATTAGGAATTGAACATTGTACGTTTTTATACAATGCCAAAATTTTATCGTATGGAAAATTTTGTATTAATTAAATTACTATTACAAAATATTTAATTTATTTTTTGCTTATTTGCCCTTGACTATCATAAACTACCACCAGTTCAAAATTTGGGAGTCTTGTATAAAAAGAATTAGTGAAACAAACTCCGAGAAGAGAATTACAGAAAGAACTAACTGTAACCTTAGGTTTTGCAGGGTGTGATCTGGATTGAGATTTTGTTTGACTACTGGATCTGAAATCGATGGAATATTCTGACCTTCCATCTCTATTAAAAACTATTAATATTCAATCACCGATTTAAGTAATTCAGTTTTATGGTATAATTCGTCACTTTCGGGGAACGCATCTTTTTTTAAAATAGTTTTACATATAATATACATATTATGTATCTATTTATAACAAAACTATTTAAAAGAAAAAAGGTTTTATATTATAAAACAGTCACACCGATACAAACCTACATGATCGAAGTAGAAACAACATAAATACGTTATCTGTGAAGATTTCAACTAGCTATCACGGCTCATGAAATACAGCCTTGGTGACAGCAAAAATACACGTTTGTTGTATGGGAGCCCCATTAAATATTTATTTTGTTCTGATTATTAGTATTCGGTTTGAAGCGGCGACAGAAATATATCATCTGGGAAAATTTCACGGTTCGTGAGATACAGACGGACAGACAGATATTACCCTTTGGGTACGGAACCTAAAAAATCTTTTGTTACATACAATTCAATGCACTATGCAATTCAGGGAGCCATTATATTTTGTTTGATCTGACACTTGTTGGTTTAATGGGTGTCTTGTCGTGTTATTCAATACAGGCAATATGTTTTATTGTGAACAGATATATATACGATTTACATACGGGCATAGCACGCGGTTGATCCGGTTGTTTCATAGCACGGTCATGGTATGGCACTATAATTTGTAATGGAAAAGTCTATAAAATGTACGTACATTCTAATTTAACTTCGTGGCCATTGCTGAGTCCTATTTGTTGTGGAGTATCGTCGCGTAATGCCTGACTTGGAGGTCGGCGTCTAGGAGCTTTCACTCTATAAATAAAATACAATTATAGCAAAAAACAATTTTATCATAACTATAATAGAATATATAGCTACTATGCGAGGTACTTGTGTTTACCAAAAAATAAAAATCTGATTTCTCTTTTTGTGTGACCAAGATTAGATTTTCGTTATTTAATACGCACCTGCCAGCACGTGGGTCGTTAAGTATAGAATTCCTCTCGACGTGGTCAAATGTATTAGCATTGGCGTTAGCATTAGTATTGGCGTTGGCATTGGCACTGGCGTTAGGTTTGCTCGCAGCCAAACCGTCCGTGCGGTCGTATTCTCCCCCACTACTGCTGCCGCTACTCACTGTTGTCGAAGATGACTTTTCCCTGTATGCCGATCAATCAATTACTCAAAAATAGAAAGCTTCTGAAAAACGTAATTTGTTAACATTGAATGGTAAACAAGATATGATATGAAGAAGAGACAAAAAAGAGAAAAGATATCTATAGTAATACTATACTTATAGAGGTAAAGTTCCTAACTATTTATTTGTTTGTAGGGGTTTTCTTCGGAAATACTAATAGATCATGAAAATTCAATCATCTACTACGGGAAGTTACCTTAGGTTGGTGCTAAGTAGGTATAAGCTATATGTAATTGATTCTGGACCGGGTGGGTCTAAATGTCCCGGATAGGTATGTGGAGCGAGGGCGTCAACCGAAGTTATTTGCAGTGCCTCACGGGAGGACCAACCTGCTAAATGAAGCCCCACTGACGCGAGCGATACGGATTCTGAATAAAGTATCTGTAGAAATCGATCTTTTTGTTTGTACCCTGTGGGAATTCACTAAAGTAGCTCAATTTATATTATGTTAAAGTATGGTTATTAAGTTATAATTGTATTTAGACAATGTGGCTACACTGTTGTATTGGGTTATTATATTTACCTGTAATAATAGTGATAAGCTTGTAATAATAAATCAATAAATAATAAATAAATTTACGCGGACGAAGTCTAGCAATTAATATGCATGCATAGGTACTCACTTGTCGGTAGTAGATATAATTTTACTCTTCAGTCCGCTGAACAAGCCGCCGACACCTGCAGTCGGTGTTGGACTTTTCTTCAATGGCACTGGAGGTTTCTTTACCTGAATAGAAATATCTTTTAACATGAAAAATACATTACATTTCTGTAATTTCAAAATTTATTTGATGCATTAAAACTAAGAAAATATTTTTTTATAATATAATACCGAAAAATGTTTCACTAAACTCTGTTTGAATTTGCATATGACCTTATTTATAAAAATATAGTAATAATTACACACTTGTCCATCTAATGTCCCATCGTTGACAGATTCACTGTGTATAAGCTTTTCAGATTCATTCTTGTTTGTGTGTGTGACTGTACTTTGTGTGCTTGTCTCCTTGCTTATTGTGTTTTCTTTGTGCAAACTGGAAAGAAAACAATTTTCGTTTATTTTGTTTATTACCTTTTATACGTGGTTATGGTTATTGTATATTTTTTAATTCTTTAAAAAGATCCAAAAAAAAAATTATAATTATGGTCAGAATCTAATTTTGTTGACAGTTTTGCAGAGATAACATTCAAGTTCGTGATAATAATAAAACTCAAATAATCTTGACCCAAAAAGTAACTACAGAGTTTTAAATAAAAAAAATAGTTGTAAATTTGCAAAAATAATTATAAATACTCCCCTACGACCCATTAAAAGGATCCGGTCTAATTGCCCAAAACCCTGTATAATAATATTACGTTACTTATGAAAACGTTATTAGATTTCTATATCTGAATGTAAACTTCACCAATTCAACACATTTAGCAATGTTTCAGAGAATCTTGTCTTATCTACAGACTATAATCTGCATTTAATCAATACAAAAGTCGTTTTAACAATAAATTAATAAACGATATTATAGAGACACAATATCACTGTATTTTTTAAATTGTTTACACTTTATATTTTACACACACACTCTGAATGTTTACCTTATTTTAGAAGTGGTCAATTCCTTAACTGAAGCCGTTTTCTCTGAGTACTTGTTAAGGACAGGGTAGATAGCATTATTTGTTTTCGACGGTGGTCTATCTTGTTTCTTCTCATCTAATTCAGGTGCTCCTAAAATGGAAACACCAACTGTTAACAAATTTTAAATCCCAAGGGTCAGCTATTTATTTATTATTAAACTAAACTAACCCAACATAACTAACAATTCTTAATGGGCACCAAAGAATTCGATTTGTTCAATATGCACTTTTTTGCGCGCATTTATAAAATGATATGTCACAAACAAAATATTTCGTAAATGTTTAACTATGTTAGATTGTTGAGGAGTTGACATGTAAAATGATACTGTAATTCAGATATAACGCATCAGATACTCAGTATTATCAGATTAGCAGTACTCGAAAATCATATTACTTGATAATTAAATAATTTCATTTTCCTTAACATACACCGACATAAAGTTTTGACAAATAGAAATATAGGTATAACATAGCACAGTTTTGTTTTTTCCTAATTATTATATTTTTATTAAAATATTAATGCGTAAGAGCTTACGCATAACTTCTGTGATAATAATAATGCTTTGCCTAAAAGATAATTAAAATATGAAATAAATTTTCGTATTGCAATTTCCAATACTTTATAAAGACTAAATTGAATAAGTTTTAAGAGTTTTTATTAGATCCCAAACCAGTAATGATGTCATATCATAAAATACATAGGTATATACAACTAAAACAAATGCTCCTTTTTACAGTTAAGTCCTTCACGTTTCACCCACAAAAACTCACTTTCCACAACCATTGTTGCCACTGCATAAAAATCAAGGAAACAGACTGTCACGACATTAAACCTGCGCAAAGGCAGTGAGGCAACTGTTTATAAAAAAGGCACGGAGCGGCGCGTGAGCATAGTTACGCAAAATCACGACTCCGTACAGTTCGTAGCCTTCATGAGAAATGTCAATAGCGAAATGACGGATATAGAATAGAGTGGGAGGACTATTTACAAACATAATAACTTGTGCGTCCGTCTAGTAGATAGTTTCTAGTGTGAGCTAACCGCTGGTTTTGGATTTGAACATTTATGATAATAAGATACAGTTACCGACTTAGGTATAAACAAAGGAACTCTAGCGCTAACCAAACATGAGTTATCTACATCCGCACAGATAGAAATCTGTTATATTTTATCTCATATCTCTGTGATCGCAGACTTTAAAATATCCGTTCAGATAAAAGTTTTTTCTAATTCCATCTCTATATTTACGTATTTAATTAACTCTTCGTACACAAGTATACACAGGTGGATTAAGCTTGCACAAGTATTTGCCACTAGTTGACCATTTGTAGCGTAAAATTTGTTCTCATTCATCCATCGTAGTCAGGTTCGTTGGACCATGCTTTAGTCTTGTACATTGTTTACTACTGTCAATGCCTGATGATCAAATAAAAATTATTTTAAGTAGATACTATAGTAGGCCTTCGCCGCATACGAGAATTCAAGTAGTTTAGTCATTATTCCAAACGCACAATTTGTTATTGTTAATTGGTATAAACTGATGACTTTCACTATCGGCTGTCGCTGTCCAAGGTATGAAGTAATTAATAGTAAGCTTAGTGTTAAATATTTGAGTAACTTTCGTGTTATTTATCTAGCATACTGTATATTACGCAGTGTACACTAATAATACTGCATCTTTACAAAATATTCCAATAATAAATATATATACATACTTAAAAAAAATAGGCTATATTTCCTTACATAAGTTCAGTGGTTAACAACGTATGAAAAAAAACGTAAACGATTCACAAAATACATCTACCAACCAAGTTTTAACCGTATAGTCCTAATAGTTTCGGAATAAAGAACTTTATTGTAATAAAATTAAAGTTGTCATCAGCCCTGCGCTTGAGCACAGGGCGAACCCATATAAACCAGGGGACTATGTTTAATTTTAAAATCTAACGCAACCACCCCAATCAGATATTTGAAAGATATTCTAAGACTTCACGTTCCAACTATTTGACATGTGATAGCAATTTCTTTTTTAACATATTGAATAAACGATATCATTATCATCATCATCACCAGCCTATTAATGTCCCCACTGCTGGACCTCGGTCATTCCCATCGATAGAATCGAATCGAATAGGGAGATATCGTTAATTTGACATTAATTGGAATTGTCTAAAGCAAGCGTTAGACGCAATAATTGGAGTCCAATGCGCATGCGCACGCAAGATTTTATATAGGTTATTAATTAAATTATAGCCGCCCAACTTCAATAGCATTTTCTTGAATAAGTCTCTTTTGAGATAAGTAGCTTTTTTTTAAGTTTGACGTCGGTTCTAATTTATTTTTAAAGCTTTTATTTCATGCATTTTAGTGATATTGATACGTTTTATATAATAGGTAAAACTAAAAATACGTTTCTGAAAACCGCGTCAAAACCGTGTTAAAGTGCGAACCTCCATTTTTTACCTAAACCTTCTAAGTCTGACAAATACTATGCTGAAAACTGCATCAAAATTGGTTCAGTCAACGCGAGATAATCGCGCACAAATATACACACATACATACAGGTAAATACATACCAACTGAGAACCTACTTTTTTGAAGTCGGTTAAAGTAAATTTATGTTTTCAATTTTCTTTATTTCATATACCTAATTTTTTTGCATATAAATTGATTATTTTTCCAAAAATTCATACAGTAAACTAACAAGCTAGAAGTTATTCAATTATTTTAACAATATTTTGGGGATAATTCATAATATTTTGATAATTTATTAATAAATTTATATCTTGCTTTTGTGCTATCTATAATCATATGACGTCACGCGAGTGTTATTTGGACAAAGTTTCAGTGCATTAGCAATTTACGGAACTTATACTATACCTATTTGTTAATTATTAACCTACCCTTTTTCTTCGAGATCTTTCTGAACCGTCTTTAACCGTTTTCAGTCTCGGAAGCCTCTCTAAATGTGATTAAACCACTTCTAAATTTCTATTTAAACTTTTAAACTCCAGCGGCAAACCATCATAGATATAAACTTCACCCCGTTAGGAGTCAAAGTTATAAAAATTATTTCTTAGTACTCACTTACATTCATGTTTCTAGGTACAGTAGTTTTAGCTCTGCGTTGATATATAGAGGTAAGTCAGTAAAGTTTGCCTTGAATGAATTTTTTGTAGGAGCAATTAAAGGATATAAGCAGTAAATAAACCCGTGTCAGTGCCTTTTTAAAAAATATAAATACCGCATAAGAAGAAATGACACTCGAAGCCTATGCACTTAGAAAACTGCTTGCGACTACGTGTGGGACGTAAAATAGGCGTGACACTAGCAACCATGGTCGACTGGCAAGAGTTCCCTTCACCCACTCAATTCATCTTATTTGTCACTTACTCTTGCCATTTACCAACTTTTCGCATCATCGATGCAAGGTTATCAGCCTTTCAGCTAACCATTGGCATGGATCCCGAATATTATATTTTAAGTACCTACAAGGTTATCAGCCTTTCAGCTAACCGCTGGCATGGATCCCGAATATTATATTTTATTTTTCAAAGTACAATAACAATTACAGTTGGCACAAATTGCAAAATGAGTAGCTCAGTGGCGTAGTGGATAAGCGCCGCGGCCACGGAATGGGTGACCAGAAATTATTATCTCGAGCTACTCCGTGCTTCGGATGGCAAGTTAAGCCGTCATACGGGTAATCCAACGGGTTACAGCTGTAGTGGCCAACCGAAATAGTAACAGAAACTGAATTTCGGTACATGTCTCAGTTTGGGCCGATACCGAAACCTCCTTACGAGGATCATATTTTAAAGGAAAAATAAAGAAAAGGTTATTATAATCTGTCAGTCTTTATTTATTATTCGACTGCAAAGGAAGGGTTATACTTTTCGCATATATCTTTTATGTAGAGTCGTACTTATATGTATGTAGTATTCTTTATTACCTCATATCTCCAGAATTGCTAAGCGGACTTACATAACTGAAGTATCGTTAGCTATAGCAAATAAATTATTATTATTTGTTTCAACAGTCCACGCGTGCTTAGATTGATGACGTTAAGGAAAATCAAACATGGCGGCTCTACGACGCCATATTCAAATAGGTTAAACTTGGTTATACTATAATCTATGTACTCAATAGCTTTGCCTGTGACTTCGTCCGCGTGATATACTTTTGGTAGCAATTCCTATCCTAGTAATGCCACCTATCGGAGGCCACGGGTAATGGTTTGAATGTCGATTTTTTTTCTCAAAAGTTATTAGATTTAATGTATTAATATTTTATTTTCTATTTAATTATTATATTACTTGCTTGTTTCAAACAGTCTGATTTCTAATAGTTAGCTTTCCACCTTGAAAATTGCAGAGTCTCAACAAATTTCCCTTCCCATTTTTAAGAGGGTTTTGGAAACATTTCAAAAAAATCTTGATCCAAGTTTTTCGTTTGTAACAAATCGTATGTATACCATTTTGGCTATTTACCTTGAAATCTGGCAAATCTATTACTCTCCCCTTAAAGGGGTTGGGAGCAGATTTCCAAAAGAAAATGATTAACGTATTTTTATTTACCAATGTACTAAGTATCATAGTGTAATGATAAGGGAAACCTATTATTGGCCATACTTATATTTAAGTTTTTATGTATAATATTATTTATGTATACGCTGTTGGTTTTCTCAATGAATAAATAAAAAAAAAAACAAATAGCCACCTACCACATACCAATTTATTGCTTTCTTAAACACAAATGAAACCGAACTAAACCAAAACCAGTTTTTTGCCGAAACTCGACGAACTTACGGTCGGACACTATACGGCTGCATTTACAGTCATTAATACCCTCCAATCAGCATCGGTCCAGCGTGGAGTGCCCATTCTGCTTAACCATCCATAAGGAAGGCCTGACTCAGGCCTGCAGTGGGGACGAAAAATGGCCGATGATGGTGTATAATTTTTCAATATTATTTTGTTTTGATCGAGACAAAATTATTAAAAACTGCAAAAAAAGCGGTAAATTCATAATACTAAAGGAAATGCTATTTATCAGGGCGGTTGTGACGAAATGTATTGGGACGTCGTTGTTTGTTGAAAAGTTCTCATAGTAGTTAATTAATTTCATAATTTATTTCCGTTTCTAAATTTTAGTTTTTTTTATAACCAGGAGTGAGACTGCCTAACTTTATAGATATTATTCTAGTCATAGCATACGATATCTTAACGAAGCTATGACGATATTTCGTTTCATCTTACGACTTTCACACGTACTTAAATAACGACAAACGATTGATTATTATGGATTTGCCAGCAGTGTTATTTGTACACTGTAACTAAGTAGTTCATCTATCGAGAGACCAATAAATGACATGTCAAAGTAGTATAATAAAACGAAATATCATAATAATAATGGCCAAGATGTCGTACTCTATGGCTGAGAGTTTATGGTCGCATCTGAGGCCCTCAATTCTACATTTTTACGTAATAATCGCAGCTCAATATAATCTCAACCAATTGCATTTTTAACCGACTTCAAAATCCAAAAGAAAGAGGTCATATGTTCGACGGCGACGTATATATATTTTTTTTTGTATGTTCAAAGATATTTCGATATATGACGACGTTTATTTTCTTTCAACAGCTTAATGGACCAAAATGGACTCATTTAACTTTTATCGAAATCGAATCAGTATTTTCCCTTTAATAACAAAATAAAAAATAATTTTTTTCACCAGATATCACTAAATATTTAGATGATATGTTTATTTCAGCAAATATTATAATGTTTATTAGTATAACGGTATAAACTATCATATTTTATAAATGTGCATATTCCCTATTGTTAATTATCACACAATAAATCCACTTACCGGCAGGCAGCAACTGCACGAAGTTATCCGGGAACAAGCCTACGCGACCGTGCAACTCGCCGCGCCACCACCCGCGATCGGGCGCATCCTTAGACACTATAGTCACTATGTCCCCCTCGGACAACGTAAGCTCGTCGTCGTTAACTGCCGCATACGGGTAAAGCACTCTGCATAACTCCTTCACTGTAACAAATTTTATTTTAAACTATGCGCATTTTATTTATTATATTAACGTTTATTTATTTATTATATTAACGTTTAGTTGTTACTAGCTTTCGCCAGCGGCTTCGCCCGAGTGGACACCAGGAAAATTTTTAGAGGGATAAAAAGTATACTATTATCTAAGTCAGCTAATACCCTATCTGTATACCAAATTGCATCAAAATCCGTTCATTAGTTTCGGCGTGATTGACGGACAAACATCCAAACATCTAAACATTCAAACAAAGAAACTTTCACATTTATAATATTAATAGGATGTGCAGAAGCTACATTAAAAAAAAGCCAAGTGAGAGGCGGACTAGCGCACGAATGCCGTATCTTGGGTAATACGGGTTAACGCGTGTGCATTACGTTGCGAGAGGGATCGGACTGACGCGATTTGTACGAGTACTACAAGTGTAAATCTTAACCTATAGTATTTAATTCAATGGCGTTGGTAAGTTTGCTGTATTGACCATGCATGATTATAATTATTTATTTAAAGAATTTGATTTTAGGTACTTGTAAAAATTTTAGTAGATACTATACTTGAATTTGTATAGTAATATGACGAAATCTAAGAAAAAAATCTAATACAATGGCAATTATATCAATGCGGTCACGTTATGTCCTAACACACTGTAGATATTAGATCGGTCATACAATCAATACAATACACTACAATGTGTATGTTTTGGAAAACAGAGATTTTCTGTTTTTTTATTAAGCAAAACCTGCTAAGCTATTAAAAACAACAAATTTAACTTTATGAAAAATATCGACGATGTGTTAGCTTACCCGGTTTAGGAGGTAAAGCAGGTGCGGGCTCAAACGGCGGCGCCGGTTGTTGCGGCTCGAGCATCACCACAAAGTTGGAAGGAAAGACGCCAACGCGCCCCTGACGTCGGCCCTGCCACCACCCCTCTTCTACCTGTATATCAAATAGAGTCATCAATAAAAAAAATCTTTTTAGAACAAAATGTATAATCAACATATCTTAATCGATAAGACGCGGTCATATAAGAAAACAAATACATTCAGAAGATTCGCCCATCATCGATCAATCAACACCATTTAGTCCACTTTAAAATAATAATATGAGACCTTCTTTACATCATTTAGAGATGTGACTTCTCTAATTTTGTTTTTCTATATAAAATGAACCAAGAGTGTTTGCATTCGTATGATCCTTTAACTATGCTGTTGGACGTCGGTTAAACGTTAGTTAAAATATTATATATATTAAGAATTTTTGTTTATGATTTTCTGCAACGTAAATTATGATCATAATTCGTAATATGTTTCTTTTATACAAGAAATTATTAACCAAAATGTAGATATGTCAAATACGAATAGGAAGCATGACGCACGCCATCGATGGAAGTAATAATAAAATGCGAATCAAACATATAGTAATTTGTTCGAATGAATTACGTGTAAAACAAAGGGAGGAAATGGCAAATCGGTCTCTTTATAAGCTTGGGAGAGTGATTCACATTACAAAGGGTGTTTATTGTCTTATACTTTATGCAAAAGCTGGCGGACAAGCGTAAATGCTTGTTAAACAGAAAACTTATTCTTATTGAATACTACTAAATAGTAGTACAATAACATGTTTTTAGTAATATTAGGAAAAAATATTGACAACCAATTTTATAAGAAGAAATAGATAATTTGCGAGTCTACCGAATATCTAATACAACTTTATACAAATGTCATTATTTTAATACTCTTGACGTGACCACGTATGATCTTGTATCTGGATTTTACCTAAAGTACGGCCAACGAGAAGCGATACCAAATATAAACAAAACCAATACAATGTCATTAGGAAATGCAGGGGTGCGTAACTTTTTGAAATCTATGCATTTTATTAGCATTGAGTTACTTTATGTAATTGTTATTCTAAAAATCTATCAATAAAAATACAATGAGTTGAAATTCGAATAATAATACTCAAAACGATACATGGTACGGAGGTATCTCAATACCGTTGGCTTAACTTGTAGCTTAGGTCCTGCTATTTTTGATACATTATAATTTGAATTATTCTATTAATGTAGTTATCAAGAATGAGATTTAATGTCGAGAATAATATTTATAGCAGTGAGGAGAAAAATGAAAATTAAAGAGATTGAAAAATGAAAATTATTTTTGAAAATGGTCGCCATAATGTTGGCGAACCAGTCTTGGTCTTGACACATTTAGCCGGGAGAACGAGACATTGCGACAAATACACAAAATGAAAAGAGATAAATAATAGATTGTCAACTCCACAGTCGTTTTTCGGGTTAATGACCTTTCGTATCGCTGCTAGTTGGCTATACTTTACACGATTGCACCAGTTAAAAGGGCTTCAAACGTCAATGTCTTAATTAAATCCTATCAAGGAACGCAGCAGCATTCACACTCATTACCAATGCCCAAAAAAATACCCCAGAAACCTTTTTTAATCCAATAATATTAAAGCCCAAAATACTATATTCTATTACCTCCCCCAGCACCTCCAGGACGTCACCGACGCAAAGGGGCAGTTCGTCAGGATTAGCAGGCTGATAACTAAACACCGCCCTGCAACGGCCCTGGATGCCGGCCGACCTGCGACAAAAATAAAAAAATTTCAGAGGAGCATAAATAAGCCTGAAAATAATAATATCAATAGATAAAAATTACGACATTAACCTCTATTAATATTATAGAGAGATTCTTGTCATCGAATGTAAATACAACTTTGAAATTTTTCCTATTTTTAATTCGATACTGCCTAAGAGGGCGCATACACCTATAATCACTAAATATCAACTGGTTTTGTACAAAGAAATAACGTCCAAATAAGATGCGATTCCAAATGAGAAAAGTACACCGTATATCTAAGAGTCCAGTTTTACGATTAATTTTAATAGTTTGCGAGTTATTATATGCGCCTATTAAGGCGGATGATGATGATAGTATTCTTGAAAATTTTAAAACTACATACATTATTTTTATGGACTGTTACTCAACAAAGATAATTATTCAACCACGACAAAGTCTAATTTAGCTCGTTTATTATTGGTATTGTTTCTGATAAAAACCACCGTTGAAATATTTCATCCAATACTTTCTAGCATTTAAGATTGAAATTAGCAATAATAAATTATCACAACACCACGTAAACTGAAAGTTGCAGTCAATTAATGATTAAACAAATTAATAGAGTCGTTATTTTTTTATAACCATCATTTACGTTTCGACACTGCTACAGAAACTTTTAATAAGCATTAAAGCTTTATTAGTTAGATCAAAGTATAAATTTAAATATCACAATAAATGTACAGGCACCTATATGTCACATTATTCCCTATATTGTACGGGGTTTCTTGAAGACTTGTATGAACTCAGCAAGGCTACCCAACTGCTAATAAACTGACTGAAACTCATACCCTATCGCATGCTTATCTGATGTGATAAGATAACGACAAAATCATTATATTTATAACGCTAATTGACAAAAATATTGAATTGGTGATGTCATAAAAACAATTTAATAAGTTTAACTAAATTAGATGACTAAACTAGAGTTCAAAAATAGTTAAAAGTACTTACATTCGTTCAAAACAAAAGTGTTAATCAGCTTATACATAGTAAACATTAATTAATACGATTAAATACATTGCATTTATAAATTGTACTTAATAGAAGACTCATTGTGATTGGTCGTAACCTTGCAAAAGGAGCTCGCGTAAAAGTAAATACATAAGTGTGATTTTTGTCTTATGATTTCAAAAGAAAATATGAATAAATCCTTACAATAGCCCGACAAATCACGTCTCTGGCAGAGATGACATCATTGATTAGCAAGCATTGATGAGTAACACAACATAGTATCGTAGTATATTATACGACGACACTGACGATGCCTTCTATTTATAAGTAACGAGTAAAACAAGTTTGTACGTTTTTTACCATTTATATCATACACTTTATGAATTGGACAATCTCCTAATGACTGTTACATCATTTATATGTAAACCCATCTCCATAAATTGCTACTTCCGGAAAAATCAATTAAACTTACGTTGTAATATCGGCGATACAAAGCAACTTTAGTGAAATAAAGTTTACTAAAAAAATACTAGAAGGCAACAAATTATTTTATTTGAATACTAGCCGCTTTCTCGCAACTTCGCCCAGGTAATGCCCGCTTAATTATAGCGTACTAGCTTTCCACTGGTTCCTGTATTATAGATAAAAACCTTCCTTTTGAATCACCCTATCTATTCAGAAAAACCGTATCCAAAACCGTTCCGTAGGTTAATTTTTTTAAAATTATGGTCCAAATGTTTCGGAGCCTATTCAGGTAAACATAGAAACAATTAAATGTTTCTTCTTTATAATATTAGTACTAATACAAAAAACAAGTTTCCGAACTTAGAATACTAACTGACAATTGTGACTGACGTTAAGGGCAACTAGGTGCATGCCAATAACTTTAGAGTGCCTCAGCAACCAAAACACATTTTACTGCTCTGTCAAGAAAATACCGGGAAAAGATCAATAATACACAAACTGTTTGTTATTCATCGAAATTTATTTATCACCTTCAAAGTATGCTTCTTCAGAGCTTGTTGAGTGTTTGCTCAAAAATTCGTTCTCAATGATGGCCTTATGCGAAGACGCATGCAAAATCCAAGAATTTGCTTTCCACAAATCAGGCCTTTTACGTCGACTTTGCTCTCTTAAACGCGGCATTACGCTCAAATAATATTCCGAGTGCACAACACCACGATAGTCAACATGACTTTGACTTTTGAAAGACTTTGGCGTGTTTTTTTTTCGATTTTGGTTCAATTCAGTTGGAAGGCGCCATTCCGAAGCTTATCGACTAGTTAGCATGTCAAATTCGTAAACCCACTTCTCGTCACCAGTAACAAAGCCTTTCGTGAACGTTGAGTTGAAATTGACTCGTTCTAGAATTTTCAGTAACTATGAACACGAAATTCCATTGGCGATGCAAAATTTAAGACAAACTCTTTGTTCGATGTTTTTGTCCATTATGAAATTTGCAATACACACTAGATACGATATAAATAAAAACAGCACTGTATTTAATATAAATAACAGATGCAACTTAAATTCCGCACCAAAATGAAAACAGTTGTGCCAATCTAACAACAACAAAAAAAAAGTAAATTTGAATTTGGAACCATAAATAAATCCCCATACTTTTTTGATTGAATGTATGATATAAAAAAAATCAAAACGAAAGCAAAACATGAAACTCAAAAGTTATATTTGAAATCCGAGACCGGATGTTATCTGTGTCAGTAAACCAGTAAGATCGCTTAGATAAATCGCAACCAGTTAAGACACTTAACTCGTGAACAATGTAAAAATAAAATACAAAATCATGAAAAATACAAATTGTCATAGTTTCATGCGACATACTGATACAATTTTTCAAATTTAGAACATTCATAGCTTCGTCGTCATCAAACATAATTGCGCAACTGACCGATAGTCCAATTCAGGTGCGAATCCAGCCCTCATTGTTAGATGTTCACATTGAATAAAAACTAAATTAATCACCAACGGCATCCAGGTGCACATCTTTATGTATATTTAAGAGAGCCAATTCGCTAATATTTCCTGTGTCACTGATGTCCGTTTTCACTAAACTTAGGAGTAGCTCCAATTTATCACCTAAATATTTTAAATGCATTTCACCAATGACTAAGAACTATCCAACGACATTAAGCAATGTCTAAAGTCACGATATGCGTTATGAGGCGCCTGCGCTAGTTATCTCCGTAATATGACAGTTCACAAATGTATCAAGAGATAAAAGAATTTTGTTTAGGCGATTCATAAGATTAGGCGTTACCTAGTTAGGCTATGTCTTGTTCTAAGTTATTGAAAACGGGTGTAAGGCGCGCAACTAAGGGTATGTTCCGATATACACTGCGAGCACTGCGCAGTGGTCTTACTGCTGAAAAATCCGTTCCGTTATGGACTGCCAGTACACTGCTACAGTACCCTAGGGAAATTTATGACGTCATAAATTGCCGCCATATTTGTACTGTGAGCACTGGAGATTTCGAGGTAAGGTGCTCGCAGTGCTTTTGATCACGTGATCAGTCGAAACAGAATCAGAAAATGATAAGTTTCTAAATAAACAAAAAAAAATACTTACGTTTATTATAAGATGGATTTAATTGATAAATATTTTTTTATACACAATTTTATAATATTTTCTTTTGAAAAGAGGGAATCTATATTTATATTCACCTTGCATTAACAAATTTGAAAATGGCGCCAAAAAATAGGATTAACAGTATACTGGACTGCGTTCCGTTTTAAAAAGTCACCAGTATAACTAGCTATAAAGGAACGGGCTTCCAGTATACTAAATTGACGTCATACTGTTCAGTGGCCGCAGTGTATATCGGAACATAGCCTAAGATTTCATCGTTCGGAGTTGAAAGTGATTTTTCCGCGGTTTCTTTTTAAGATGAGTCAGTCGGTCGTAGCGTTTTTATCGTCAGCTTATCGATCTTACTAGACCATAAAAGTAAGACTGCAACTATAACAACTAGTGAATTAGAGTTGTGAGCCCACATAATGCCCATAACTCGATCGATCCGCGCCTGGCCCAATTCAGGGTCTTCTTGCCTATTTAGTCGTACATATTGATTTTTTACTCTATGAATTAAATTTTTTAAACTATGTAATTTCTCGCCGACTATTACGATTATTGTTTTACGTGAAAACACTTCGGCTACAAGGTCTAGACATATTTTTCAGTTTTCCCTTTATTTATTTAATGAGCATAATTACAAGAAATTAACAAAATGGTGAATTTTAATGATAACTTTACAATTTTTTTCTATCGGAATCATATTAAAAATCATTGTAGAAACCAATTTTATAGTTAGTGATTTTTGGTTACCGCACAGTCAACAGTTAAAGACGGCTTGCAATTCGTGGCTATTTAATAAATAGTCGTAGTGCAATATAATTATTTAGCCAATAACACTTCTAATTAACAGACATCACAACAATATGTCCATAAGCAGTTTATCTGATATTCACCATGGGCCAACCGAGGAGCAAGAGATTTGCAAGAAAAACCCCCAGGTGAACGTTCGAGGGGGTAGTATATAGAGACCTTGACATAGATGGGAAGCAAAAGTGGATCCAGCTTTGGCGCCAGGGGGGTTACAGAGTCTTATCAAACCACAAGAACTTGACATTAATTTTAATGATAATAGTTACCTACCTATTTAAAGTAAATAACAAAATTATTTAATTATTTTTTTTACTTTTTCATCTTAAACGCGTTATTATCACTTTATCTAGTTCAATCTTATTAATTATTAAAAGTAATTTAAAAATAAACTATATTCTAACAAAAAATATATAAAAACATTATGTTAACAATTTTAATTAGTAGTCCACCTACGTCTTGTACCCAGCCCAGGTGGAGGTCATGACCCCCTTGACCCTCCCCTTGGATCCGCCCTTGATGGGAAGGAGAGTGATCACATATCAATGCATCTACTTATGCTGGAGCATGGGTGGATAATATAATCGTGGTGAATCTTTAGGTAGATACATCTTTATCTTTAAATATATGTATATCAATACAGCATTGACAATACAAACTTGTTCAATTAGTATATATAATAACTGTAAAAAGCATAATATTCAAATACCTTGTAGTGGCCGAGTCGGTGAGGACTGATACAAAGTTATCAGGGAACATGCCGCGGCGGCCACGTAGCTCCCCGCGCCACCAGCCACCAGGCAACCGCTCCACGTCACGCAGGATATCCCCTGGTCTGATTGTCAACTCATCAGGCTCGGATGCATCATATGAGTAATTTGCTATGCAGGATACTGTAACAATAATATTTAATAACAATCATCATCATCAGCCCTTTACGTCTCTACTGCAGGGACTCAGGTCTTCCTTATGGATGGTTAAGGCATCACACACAATGTTAACAATGAAATATTAATGAAAGTAACATTTTTATTAGATATTGTAAGATCTTATTCTGAATATTAAAAAAATAAATATATATTTTTAATCACATATTTTGTATTAATATAAATGAAGAAATATAAGAATGAGCCACATAATTACTGGTTGACTAAATGGAGTAGTACTGAAAATTTACACTCTTTGTATTATCACCACAATGACATTTATGCCCATTTTCACTAAATTTAGGAGTCACCCAAATCTGCCGCCTAAGTATTTAAGAATCGCCTAAGGTGAAAATGCATTTCACCAATAAGTAGAACAACCGAATGACATTAATATGATATGCAGTGCCTTGCATAAAAATTTATTAAGGGCTAAAATAACTAATGTTTATTTAGAATTAAACTAATCTGGTTAAGCAATTTGTAAAATGAGGTGTTTCTTAGTTAAGTTATGCCTTTATTTTAGGTAAGTGATAATGGATGTTAATGATCTAAATTAGTGTTTTCAAAATATAGAAATTAAGTAATAAGTAGTAATAGTATTATAAAATACAGTTAACTCAAAAATATGATACAATAATTGATATAAACAAATAATTAAAAGTACCTCTTTCCTAACTCTAGTCTCATGTGCGCTTACTAAATAATTTTAGTATTTAAGGTTGAAGATTGACATGACGTAGTACTGGTTCCTGGTGTGAGACTGGCACACTCGCCCTAGTTCTGTTTTTTTTTTATTAATATACCCTTTTGGAAGACATTAGCTGGTCAGCCTTTTACAACCTACAAATAGGCTAGTTAGACAAAATCGTAATCGGCACAACTCTAGTTGTTATAAATTAATTTACATCAACTGTTTAATTGGGACTAGTGAATCTTTTAAACATTTTTCTTTGAGACAATAATGATAACTTGGCATTTTTCTATTGTGATACTTATAAATCAAGGGCCACAGTAGTGCCCCGCAAAGACAACCTTTTATGACAGAATTGAGTACTTTTATGTATTAATGGTAAGTTTTTTTTTATTTCAGTATTATTGGAATACATCTCCATGGGTATATATTTTCCATGCCAGTATGCAAGATGTACTCTATAATTAGTGAGTTAACACATTGTATAAATTGATTAGTTATGAGATTTGGATTCACTGTTTGTTTATGTTTCACTCAAATATTATTACCTGCATATGATGTAGCTTGCAATATGTGAAAGTATTAAAGTAAGCAAGTAAAAAAATTGTTAAAATCGGTCCTGTATTTTCAGAGCCTGTTCAATGCAAACAAACAATTATATTAGAATGGATTAAAATTGAAATATAAAACTATATAGATAAATAAATACAATAATGTTGAATAATAACACAAAAATAAATTAAATTACACTATTATATTAGAGTTTGGATGTGTAACTAGAGATGTCGCTGTTCAAGTTTGAATCCCACTATGGTTTTGTTTACAAAATCTATAATATATTCTCTTTTGTGATTTAATACTATGCAGTTATAGATTATCTTGTCTTTTGTTGTAAAAAGCTGATTGTACTTACAACACAAAAAATGATTAGTGAAATAATTTCACTCTTATGGCATGAACAGTTAGAAGCTTGGCTCTACATGAGATCTGAAAACTGTTTGATAATGTGAATAGTCTTGATTTGGAAATATTTTACATAATAATGTTCTTGGTGGGATAAGAATATTTATGAACTCTGTTAGTTTATGATATTATTTCGTACTTTTTAACATTATACTATTTAATTCATTTACTTTGTTAATTCAATAGAATGTATAAGAATCAATTGTATTGTTATATTGATAGACTATTGATAGATAGACTTATAGACAGAGCAATCCTAACCCTTTATTTTCATCTGTGGATGGAACATTCAGTACAGTTTGCTATAGAATGATCATTGCAGTTGTATGTAATAATCTAAATAATTATCATAATTCTTTAGGAAAAGTTGTTTAATTAAACTGTCAAAAAGGATATGTAAAATTTATTATTTATATAAACCCTTAGTTTTACTATCACCATAATGTTCAAGAAACACTTATTTGCATTAAATTACATCATTACAGGCAGTTTATGAGTCATGACTGTATATGAATATGAATAAATTAAGGTAGCATGGTAAATACCGATATTTTGGGTTCAGATTACATACAGATTAAGCACAGTAAGTCAAATACGGATCACATTGATAAGAAATTCTACAAAACAAGATAAAGTCAAATAATGTCAGGTGACGCCCGAAAATGTCAACCCCAATCGACTTATTTTAAATCTGATAGAGGCATATCGAAAAAACGCAATAAAATAATAAAGTGTCACCAATACAAGTTTACGGCATCATACGTCAGCTAAATCCATGTCGCAAGGTACAGTTATTCATACACAAACACTTGTTCTGATTAAGCCTAGAACTACTTACCCTTTTGATTTGCATTTGTTTCCATTTCAGAAAGTAAAGATCTATTACATTATCACAACACATTCAAGAAACATAAATCAATATACAAATATTTTCCTACCCAAACGGTAAATATGTAATAAATATTTAAGATTCTCTAAAACCCTCGAATCAGAATCTGTTTTCACAATCACGTCTTGATCACGTCAAAGTTTTTTTTAAATGCTATTTTTAAGGCAAGTGAATCTATGGTCTTACAGTCAAACAAACATAATAAAAGAGGAAGTATTTTAAGAAAAAAAGAAAGCACCAAAAAGCACTCACTAGATGGCGACTCTACCAAAAGATGATTTTTGCAGGAAACAAATGGACCAAAGAACAAGATCAGTCATTTCCGTTACTTTTACCTAACATATTGAAAAAGTGAAATTTACAAATTTCGAATATGAGTTGTTTATTGCGTTTTGAAAATTAATTTACTTTTATAATGAAAGAAAACCGAAAAAGTTGACATGGAGATATCAAGCAAGTACCGACATCTAGTTTGATTTCGGGAACGAATTTATTTTTAAATACTTCCTCAGTGTCCATCCATATATAAATAATACCTCGTATACCTATATCAATTTGGAAATATTTTCTAGAGCTAAAAAGAAGGATAATAATATGTCTAAATACGCAATACATACCAAAAATTTAAAGTTACTAAAACTAAGACGTTTGTCTGAGTTTTTTTCATTTTTCACTTCATCACTCATTCAATCAATTTGTGCATTCAATTCCCGCATAAAAAAGTACAAAAAAAATGCTCCGCAAAAAGAAGAAATACAGTGGATAAAATACGATTCTCTTTCACTAATATACATAATATGAAAGAATATTAAGTTTTACACTTAAATCATTAACATTTTTGACAATAAAACCAAATTAAAGCTATATAGTTTCAGAAAATAAAAATAATTAACAATCAAAAACATTTTTTTTACATTCTTTTTGTTTATTCTGGCTTGGAACCCAGTCTTTTAGCTAAACATATAAAAAATTTAATTTTTTCGTCAGTGCTGCCACTGTTATTTACTTTCAATTTTCCCAAGTATATGGGAGCCTTTTCTTTTTATTTTACGTGGCTATAATTTATCTAAATAAATTCTCATAATTAATTATATGGCTCAGTTTTAGTATCGGCGACTAGGGAAATTGTATTGATTTTTTTTTTCACACACACACACACAGATGCTCACGTGGTTTACTTTTTTACAGTGTATAGGTACGAAGTTCATTAGTTTTCGGGATACAACCTTTGTAAATCACGCAAAATTGAACTTTTGTTTGATGTTTTATAAGCTTTGATAAATATTTGTCTTAAACATAAGACTTTATCGAAAAGCACAGAGATTTATATGCCTACTTTCATGATTGTTTTTTTTAACAGACAATATCAGAAATAGAAGGCAAAGTTTTTTTTTTATTACATAAGAATAAAGATTTTTTAGTCTTCGAAAACGAATTTATGTTAAAAATATGAACATAGCATTATACTAAAGCAATAATATTTAGCCCTTTTTTGAGTCAGACGCATATTCCTTATTGTATAAATTAATTTTACTTTTGATTCTACTATTGAACATTTTAAGTTACATATATCTCTTACAACTGCTGGTAAGGTTTTCAGGTGAAGAATCTCTGTTCATAACCGTACTCATAGTTCTTGCTCAAAAAGATGTTGAAAACAATAGACTGCATATAGCTTGACAGCCAATAAGTCCAAATCATTAGACCAGTAAGTGAAACAATTTAATACAAATTATGGCATAAAAAGTGTTTTAATATAAAATTTCTCAATCACACATCTTGTTTGTATATATTAAATTATTAGACAATATCATAAACATTGCTCCGACAAGATGAATAGCTAATGCTCCTGTCTTATGAAGTATCTGAGACAACGAAGGTACCAAAAAAAAAAAATTCTACTTTGATCCGACCGGGAATCGGACTCAGGACCTCAGAGACGGTGACATCTTGAAATCGGCGTGCAAAAAAACTATCGTAAGTTTAAGTTGTTTAATATGTTACGTGTAAAGGAACGATGTTTAGTTTATACGTCAACATTAGTGATGAATCAACTTATATGAGCCAAGCTCGTAACTTTCATCCGAATTCAGGTTTGACCGGAGCTAAATGCCGCTTTTAATTATATCACAGCATTAAATCAATTGATTTCCATAAATTAAAAAAAAAACCTCTGTGCTCACTTTCATTATATTAGTTTCCATTTTCCTCTATACAAACATTAATCCGAGTAATCAGATCCATAACAACACTGACAATTCTATTCTCTTTGGTTTAACGTCATGAATTGACGTTTAGATCCAACAATTTGTAGTTTCTTTATTTTTTTTAAATACTTTATATTAAAATGAAATCAGGTTTTTAAAATGATCGTCTCGGCTAACAGTTTCATTTCATATCCATGGTATGAGAGTGTTTAAAGATAACTAGTCCACCATCTTCGATGGTCCGGCACATTGGATCTAGGATGAAGAAATTTTTTTTTTTTTCTTAGCCAACCATTTGATATTCGCATCATGAAAGTGTACAATTTTTTTACCAGTATACTCTCATGACTGATAAAATATTAAGCCGCATTTAAGGCACCTCCCATATAAGAATTAAAATAATATAACTTAGCTAACTGTGCATTGCCATCTAGACTAAATATGTGTAAAGTTTCAGCTTAACCGATTATGGATAACTGCTTTAAAAATCAGTTGCAAGATTAACGAGAAACATTGCGATATAAGGAGATATAAAGAAAGCACTAAAAAAGCACCCCCACGAGATGGCGACTCTAGCAAAAGTAGATTTTTGCAAAAGTCCAAATCATTAGCCCAGTAAGTGAAACAATTTAATACAAATTATGGCATAAAAAGTGTTTTAATATAAAATTTCTCAATCACACATCTTGTTTGTATATATTAAATTATTAGACAATATCATAAACATTGCTCCGACAAGATGAATAGCTAACGCTCCTGTCTTATGAAGTATCTGAGACAACGAAGGTACCAAAAAAAAAATGTGTTAGTTAAAAGGAATGGAAATGACCGTCTTTGGTCCATACCAAAGACGGTCATTTCCATTCCTTTTAACTAACACATAAAAAAACTGAAATTTGAAAAGTTCGAAACTAAGATATCAATACAAATACAAAAAAGTACAAATAGAATATGAGTTGTTTATTGAGTTTTGAAAACCAATTTACTTTAAAACTGGAAAGAAAACCGGAAAGGTTGTCATGGAGAAATCAAGAACATACCGTAGCGACATCTAGTTTAATTTCGGGAACTAATGCTTTTTTTTAAATACTTCCTCATTGAATGTAGCGCACATTATAAGACTTATAAATGATTATTAATTACTAAAATTGTTTATGAAAATAGGCCTTTCTTGGCATTCTATCATTATCGACTTTAAAGTAATCTTGTAATGCCCCAACTTAATATTTTTTTACATTTAAGATATGGTCATTTGCATATTAGGACATATTTAGTCTTATAAAATTTATATTATCAAAATATACAAATATGAATCTCTAACCAAAAAATTCACTCCAAAAGGAATAAAATAATTATAAAAATATTATCATTGCAGTCGAGAGAACGTTCTGTGGCTGTTTGTATTTATAAGATTTTTTGAATATTAAGATTATTTTTATAATTTTTAGCTATTTTTTGAGTCGGGTTCTTTAAATTTTATTTTAAGCTTTCATATTTCTTTCAGATAAAAAAATGTATCTCAAAATGATCTTACCGAAAAGGGCTATTGATTATTTAAAAAAAATAATCAGGTTCACCCATGAAGATAAAGTCGTTAAGAAGCTATTATTCTGTAAGTTACTTGCAACTTGAAAAATTACTACCTCCTGAGAAAGAGCTCGTAGCTCTTAAACTGGTAATGTTTTTCCTAAAATATAACAAAGAAAATTTTGGCGTCACTTGTACACAGTAGTAAGGTAAGGTTTATAAGTGAAGCGTGATCGATGTCAAAAGTATATTTTTATCATGAACAATGCATTTAATTACTAGGGTTATCGTCTAATACCGATAATAAATAATTGATTTGTCCCAAGTAATGGCTAAAGGTAAACACTACTCAAAGAAGCTGGTACATATCATTATTTCTAAATTTGACATTTGCATGTGTCAATTTGATCTCTGAGATTAAAAAACAGACTAGGATTTTCGATCTACAATAAAAGATTCAGTAAAATCAATATATATTCTCCTAATTTCGTAAAAAAATCTTCAAAAAACGATCTAGAGATCAATTTTCATGGAAAAATCGAAAATAAGAATTCTAAAAGAACGATTTTCAATAAATTCGAATAGACCGGGATCCCTAAAAAATACTATGTTTAGCTAAATAAATGTTGACGTGCGAGGCATAAATGTAAAAACGTTTTGCTTTTTTAACTTACTTTTTATTTACAATTTTATTTATCTGTGAAATAAAAAATAAATAGTAAATAAAGTATTTTATTAATTTACCACAAAATTACCCTTTAAAATCTACTCTATCCATATACGGTTTTCAATAATTCAGGTATCTTCATAAACTCTTTATTTTTTCAGTGGTCCAACAGAATCATCAGGAATTCCTAATTCTTCATCAGTCCATGTACTAGGATCAATATATGGCCACTCTCCCTAAAAAAATAATAAGATAATTATATATTACCTAGATATTACAGCTACTCAATTAAATTAAGTATTTGTTTTATGCGTCTAAAGTTTAGAAACCTTAATACTTTGTTCTTATATATTTTAAAGAGAGGAATATGAAACAAGCATAATTCGCCAAAATATCGAGGGGTGAAAGATCAAGCTTTAATAAAGATATAATAGGGTATTTGACACTATTAAAAATAAGTTGCATATTATGGTCATTCTGTTATAATAATTTAATAAACTTTATTTCTTAGAATCTGCGGACAAAATATGTTTAGCTTTAGCAAAATAACGTAAAGAAATTTTAGTGAACGACGAAAAAGCCCTGTAATTTGTTGTTGTTGCAACCAATAACAGTAAACAGGAAGCTGTCATGTAAAACAGTGTTATTATTATAGATACGCAAAATTTGTATTTATGTGACGTCACAAATACCACGTGATCAGCGTCATTACGTAGAGCAGCGTTTTTTCGTAATTTTGGCTATTTAAACTTTAACAATTATTTTCATCATAAATAGAATCTTATTCTTAATACAAAATGCTTAAAAATCCACTTGGTCCCTGGCACCCTGAGATGGGAATCGATCCCACGCCCGGATTGCGAAAGGTCGTGGGTTCGATTCCCATCTCAGGGTGCCAGGGACCAAGTGGATTTTAAAGCATTTTGTATTAAGAATAATTTTCAGTATGGCATTGTGAATGCAAAATTAATCAAAATATAATAAATAGAATCTGTCACACGAAATATATTGATAATGTGTTTAAAATGTATAACACAACCATTTAAAATAGTTTTAAAGGCGTCAAATACCGTATTAAAAAAAGTATGTAATTATTTTTTTCTATCTATAAAATTCATATCAATAAATAATGAGTGTTTGATTAAAGTAGTAGTGGGTATTTTGTAATGCTCGGTCGGCAGTGTTTGATTTTAATAATAAAAATCTGTTTTATTGGGAATAGAAACAATTTTATTCATACAGCCAACATCGTTATCATATTAAATGAAAAAATTATAATAGACTTATCCCAGTGAGTCTTGTAATAGGCTGGAAACTCAAAAAATGCAAAGCATAGCAATGTTCCTAAATTTAGATTTTCCCAATTAATCTGGATTAAATATCATAGCAATAATAATAATTTGTATTTTTCAAAAAAAAAAACACACCTTTATATTTTAATAAAATTATGACTCTGGTATCTCTCGATAAAAAAATAACAACTATAAATGAAGGGATTTTTTTTTTTAATCTATTAGTGTTCTGTACATTGATGCTTATGCCCGTTTTCACTAACCTAGAACTTAATATTTAAAATAAAATAAGCAGATTTGTTTTTCGATCAAACCTTTTCATATTTTCTGAACTTATTTTAAATGGACAATGACTACTTGGGTGCTCGTGCAAATACAAGACCATAAACAATTTTTCTTGTTTTATTCTCAAAAACATTTTGTTTTTGTTATTGTCTCTTTATGTGTAAAGGCGACTAACGTGACATTGGCGGAATTATGTAAACGCAAATACATAAAAAAAAGAACTGTAGCTTGAAAAAATCATAGACAAACATTGCCTATATAAGAAATTGCTTTAGTAAGGCATTCTCTAACGTTAAGGGTTTGGTGAAATGACAAAGCTGTTTACGCTTCTATTAATATAAAGTGATTTCTAGTTAGCTACGCTATGTTCTTGGGTATAGTGATGTGCCAACTCGGAAAAAACACAACTCGAGTTATCGCGAGTTAAAATTCACATAACTCGGGTTCAACTCGAGGTAACAGAATGAAAGCGAATAAATGGTTTCGTTTGTTTTTACCAATTTAATGATTCAGATTCAATAATATTTCAAAAAAATTGAACAGATTAAGCATAAATATGTATGGGGACCATTGTAATTAATTAAAGTAGGTAAAATTGAGTTAAAAAAGACTTTATTTATCATGTATTTATGTATTTTAAATTGAATTTGTGAGATAAATGAAGTATTTATATTGATTACACTAGGCAACAATAAAATACTTTTGTTTTTCCCAGAGATCTGATAGCCATGCTATAGAGAACTTAGAATAGTAAATAAAACACCAGTCACGTATAGCTTTTGAGAGAAATTATTTTGAATTTTAACTATTATTAGTAGTTATTTTAAAGTAAATAAATTATTTAGACATAAAAAATAAACTAGTTTTTGTACATTTGACCTGCCTGTTGAAAGAAGAGGTTGGAGTCTCTATAACCAATAGACATCTGAAAGCATTGCAGTGGTTCATTTTCCCTGATAACGCTTTTTCATTGAAGAAACCTCTTGGTGAAAGCGCTTACCATGCTCATCACTTATTGCACCTAGATCTTCTTTAAAAAAAAAATTAGGTGCGAATGCAGAAAGTGTATTTTTGATGACATATTGCAACCCAATTCTTTATAAGCATTTAACAATTGATTTATAAGCAATTCATATTGAGGCGATCGTCTATTTCCCAAAAAAAATTCTGTGGCTTGAACAATTGCCAACCAAACAGTCTTTTCTTTATTGTTTAACATCGCAATGAAAGACAGATTTTATTAACTTCTTAACATCTGGGCCATTAAAAATACCTTCTTTGAATTTTGCATCACTCCAAGAAGGAAATTTTTGCTTAAGACACTTACAAGCCTGGGCCATCCTTGTTGATTGCTTTCACAAAGTTTTTGATTAATCCTAGTTTAATACGTTAAGGTGGCAAAAGTACTTTTTTGGAACTACTAATGGGTCAGTTTTCACACTTTTCTGACCTGGATCATAAGAAGTTCTTAGTGAGCAAGTTTTTCAACATAATGCTCAGCTCTTGCACGGCTATCCCACTCACATAAAAAAAAACAAGAGTATTTCCTGTACCCAGTTTGCAATCCTAGAAGTAAAGCAACCACTATCAAGTCAGCACATATTGCCCAATAACATTTACTATATTCTATTTTATTCAATAAATGCTTCACGACTTCGTAGTCGTAAAGAAGCACGGCTTTCAAGCTTATTTAAGATGAGTCTATAAATTGCCACCATTCATCTCCTGAAGGCTGGTGACCCAATGAAGCCAATAAACCAACAACATTATTGCAATAAATTAAACCCCAAATTTTTACAATAGAAATCCATGTAAGAATTGCCGTGTTATAGAAGATTCCATTGCTTTAATCTTGAACCTAATAGTTCAGATTTTTTTTAGGCAAATTTAAGTCACTAACAAGATCGTCGAGCTCAGATTGACTGACCAAATGTGGTGATTTGGATGTACTTGCCACTTGCAATTCCTCACAATCATCATCAGAACTTAAAGTAAAAAAAAATGAGCATTCAACGTGACTCGGTGGTATAGGTACTGGAACATCTTCCCAATATATATTGGTTTTGTTACGGAAGACACCTCTGCGTAATTTACTGTGTACTTAGTTTTCTTAGAAAAACCTTTGACATCCGTGAGACAAAATTAACAGTCACTTACGAGATCCTTACGTTCTCGCCAAATCATAAGTTGACCAAAGAGCATCTTTGTTGGTTTCTCATTGAACCAGTTCGTCAAATTCTTGTGGCATAAGTAGCAAAACATGTGTGGCAACTGGCAACCAATATTTGTCTTGGTTGCCAACGTCTAAACCAAAATATGCACGCATGAATTTTCACGGGATAATTTTGAATGCTGCCTAGTGTTATCAACAATACTAGTTATGCTGAATTATAGCAGTCTTCACAAAATATTTCTTTTTAGGTCGCGGCATTTTTACTATACAGTACTTAATAATTTAATAAACTAACAACAATAACAACCGGCTCTCCAAATATGTATATAATCTCAAATCCGTAACGATGTTGTGTCGTTGTGACATAGCTAATGAATAGGTATAAACATAAATGATCAGCAAACTTTGTGCCATGTCAGTGTCATTCGGCTGATGCGCTAGTATTCAAATTTGAGTTAGAGAGAATTCAACTCGAGTAAACGCAAGCTAAGGCCAACTTGAGTTAGTAAATCTCGAGTTAGGACATTGAGTTAACTAAAATTAGGACATCGAGTTAGTTCAAGTTAGGACATCGAGTTAACTCAAGTTAGGGAATCGAGTTGACACATCACTAATAGGTCAGTGAAAGAAAACGGGTATAAGCATAGTTGAATTAGTCATTTGGAGACTCCTTGTCATTGGTGAAATGCATTGTCACCTAAGATAATGCCCAGATATTTAAGTGTCATATTTGGCAGACTCTTAAGTGAAAACAGGCATTAAACCAAATTTTATATCTTTATCTGATGTTATATAATCTAAACTAAAATATTTTATTAAGATATTTTTTTTTGTTTGTATTTATTTTTCCTTCTCTTATACATTATTATTATATCTGTTCATGACAGGTGTGGTCAATAACTTTTCTTTTTTCTTTCTTTAAACCCTATCAAAAAAAACTATATCAACAAAATACTTGGGATCACTAATCTAAAAGGGCTTCCTATAGTAGGGGAGCTCACGATGCTAAATCGGGATTTACTCGAGCGTCATAGAGACCTAGTGGGTTGCGAAGCTTAGATCATAACAAAAAAAATGTCATATAATATATACCTTTTCATCGGTGGGGGAAGCGGCTATAGATTTTTAAGAATGTAAAAAAAAACTGTTGTATCGACATACTCGAGCGCGTCAGATATTAATATCATCCATGACCTACGCATTTTTAAAAACTGTCGTATGTTAATCTGATCGTTTCCATGATGGGGGTGGTTATACGTAAGAATTGAAAATGAAAAAAAAAAAAATTTTATCGAGCGCGTCAGATTTTTTGACGGGATGTCAAGTGAATCTAAAAAAAGCTCTCATATAAAAATCTGACGATTTGGATGTGACGCAAACTCGTGACCATTTTTAGAATGTGCAAAAAAAATCGCCATTTTGAAATACTCAAGTGCGTCAGATTAAGATATAAATTATTCATCTTTATGCCCCATACGTGATATCTCATAATCTGACGATTATCTGAAGGGATTTACTTAATCTGACAATTAAATTTTTTTTTCAAATCATTGAGCTTAATTAAATAGAAAAGCACCGGAGTTAGCATGCAAATAAAAAAATTGTATGTTTTTTTATGTAGAATACTTAATGATTATATGAAAATTTTATTTTTACAGTTTTAATTATCATCTTCATCGCTAGAATCATCTTCCTCTTCTTCTCTTAGTAAATATGTAAAAAGTTTAATTCACAAAATTTACATTAAAATAACAAAATAAGCAAAAACGTTGGTAATACGATGTAAACAATATCACGCCACGAACGAGTCTGTGTCATCAGCTGTCATGGCGTCATGGCAACCGAAACCAGAGTGGGGACGGAGTGAGAGAGTAATAGATAGAAAAAGAGTGAGAGTTAAATAGTGATGCGGAGAAGGAAATATAGGTATCACATAGCTGCAGCCATTAAATTTTATCGACGAATATCTATTACTTCGGTTTGTGAAAATCGTCAGATTATATATTTTTCGTAACACTTGAATGAAAATAAAATAAAAAAAGCCACGCTCGAGAATGTCAAAGTGACATTTTTTTTAACAACTTTGTAGCCTTCCCCCTTCTTTACGTCACTCTCAAATTGTCAGATTAGAGGTATGTACACCTTTTAGCATGTAACTAGCTCACCTTACCTTAATCAGGCGCGCTCGAGATTTTCAGATGATAAATTTTTTTCTACTAATCTGATCCTTCGTCCTTGCCGGGCGGCCATTTTTATAGGGCTCATACTTGGTCCAAGTACTTAACTGGGTACAAGGTATCCCCCTGTATATTAATCTGCCGCGCTTAAGTAAATCACAAAATCCCCGCTTCGGCTCCCCTACTACTACTGTACAAAATTATATAAACAATAGTGAAGGAATAGAATGTTTGGTTAGTCCTAATCCTACCAAAAACTAACCTAACTTAACCCTAAGATTGCAGTAAGTATATCAGGGGTAGCCAACCAGTTGATCATGGCTATTAGTACAGTCTATAATGACAAGGTAAATACATGCATGTTTTGGTTCGACTAATTTATGTGTATCAGTATTTTCTTATTTAAAACAAACTGAAAGTAAAGGCTGTTCGCACTTAAGGGAAGCTTGGACTCTTTAAGATAATAAAATAGAAATAGCCTTTATTCATTGACCAACTGTAAATTTAAGCTACATTTTATTTACATATTTTATTTATAAGCATCTTGGTTAAGTTGTCCTTTGACTTAGGCTTCCTCCAGGTTTTGGCATGTTGTCTTTTTATCTTTTTTTCATTGTTTTTTCTTCTCTTTCCATCTCATGGATACTATTCTACTATCTATTTTGTCTATTTATTGTTATTTGAACTCATCATGTGTCCTGTTCATTTTGACTTTTTAAAACCAGCAGAAAAATCTCTGCCATAATGCTTTGATAAAATTAATGTCTACAATATAAGTATTCTTAAAGAAAAATACTTTTTTAAGAGTTAAAGGTTTTTTAATTATTTTTCATTAAGAATATTGTATATTTTTTCATTAAGAAAATTTATCAAAAATAATAATAATATAAGTGTAAGTTTCCCTCCATAATATACAAGTAGTAACTAATTGGTAAGAAATAAATTTTATCGATTTTTATTTTACATTAAAAACATTACCATTTCTTTAAAACTTTAAAGAAAAAATATTGGTAGTTTTCGACAAACATTCAACAATAGAAACTGAATATAGCTGTGATAAAGTTGGCAGCCCCTGAAGTATACATTGACAATGTTTGGATGTGTATATTGGGTTTGTTCAATTTGCCTTAGTTAAACCACTGCTTAAATTTAATTAAAACCAAACTTACATATATATGTTCCGGCTCTGTAGCAATATGATATAGTATCCAATACCAGACTATACCCCCAAGACCAGTAGTTATATAGGTGACCTTTTTAGAAGGCATGGGCGGAGGCACCCTGTATGACCATACTCTGCAACAAAAATATAAGTTTAAAATAAAGTTACTCAGTATTATATCTATTTGTAAGGAAAAAATAGTTTTATTTTAAAGAAATCTGATGACATAACACCATACCCATGGCCTGCATTTCTTTTCGCTTGTTTCAGATTATCCGTGCTATTTTTTATAATTCGCAATAGTAGAGCCCTAGTGGCTAACGATTTGGTAAGCATTTCGAGTCAAAAATTAGCTATTAAATTTGTTACCAATATGTAATCAGATTTTTTTTTACATGACAGGTTATTTGACTGACAATAGGGATGCACGATATATATCGACGTCCAAATTTATCGATATCGAAAGAACAGCGACATCGATTTCAAAAAAACCAACATATCGAATTAAATCTAATAGTGAATGTGTATCAGTCAGTTTCAAATTTTAACATGCAACAGCATCTTTACATGTATATAACTTAGGGCCAGTTTTTTGATCCGTAGTCATTTGTCATTTCACCATTTGTTAACTTGACTATAGTTATAACATTAACAAGTTGTTAACTCGCTATTTCGTTTTTTGATGCCAAATTAAACCATAGCCAAATTTAACCACTGGCCAATTTGTTGCCAGCACAATGAGTCGTTTTTTCGCTATACATTGACATGGGTAATTTTTTTCTGGGTGACAACACTAACGGTTTTAATGAACGGAGCGAACTATATAAGGCGTCTATTACACTACCCAATCTATCGGGCACGATATATCGGCCGCGATTTAGGGTGGTTGGTGTCGTTGTGATTACACTGCACTAGATCGCCTCCCTAACTCAGTTGGCATGCAAACGTAGCGTTGAAAGGATGGCTCCTTCGCTCACAAAGTACCAAAACATACTTTAACTGCGGGCGTAAATAATAAAACAAAATGTTGGGTGAAAAATATTTGCTTCTAAGAGACCAACTATGCAGTTTAAACCATTGTTTTTTAGTTTTTTTTAAAACCTACATGATTTCATAGTAAATTTGGACATTAGCTATTTTTGGGTTATAGGGTTATTGAAAATAAGTTATATTTTTATCTTGATCATCCTTAGTATTTGTACTATATAAAATAATTTTTCTTGTTTGGGGCCGTCCATTAATCACGTGATGTTTTTTTTGGCAATTTTTTATATCACGTGTATTTGTAGTACTTACAATGAATCTTAATTTTCTAATTATATTATAGACAATTAAAGAGTACAATAATGTCTAGAGGTAGACGTTTGACGAAAAAAAATTTATTACACTTATTTACGCCGCTTTTCGGTTGAGTATCGCGCGTTTGTCGAAAAAATAAATACACGTGATATGTTACTTCACCCCCCTCCCCCCTTGTGATATTTCGTGACTTTTTTATGGACCCTCCCTCCCCCCTTTCGAGCCTCACGTGATTAATGGATAGCCCCTTTCCACGGAGATATGCCAAATTATTCAATTATTAAAAATCTTATAAAATCCATGAATAGACAATACAAAAGGTAAATATGCCTACAGTACATCAAATACATAGACCTCGATTTATTTTCCAACATTACAATCCCACCTTGGATACTAAATACTATATTTTTTTCACGTATTTCTTTGCTTTTTATTAAAAAGTTAAAATTAAAATAACTGGAAAAAAATATCTTTGTTGCTTTCTAACATTATTAAAGAAATTGCCTTATATTTCCTGAAAAAAAAAACACATACTGCACACAACAGAACAACCATAAACATCCACACTGTTTGATAATCTATAGATTTCTTTCGTCTATTTGATAATTGGAACAAAATCCTAATGTCAAAAATGGTATAAGTTCGCTCCGTTCATTCAAACCGTTAGTGTTGTCGCCCAGAAAAAAATTACCCATGTCAATGTATAGCGAAAAAACGACTCATTGTGCTGGCAACAAATCGGCCAGTGGTTAAATTTGGCTATGGTTTAATTTGGCATCAAAAAACGAAATAGCGAGCTAACAACTTGTTAATGTTTTAACTATAGTCAAGTTAACAAATGGTGAAATGACATTTGACTACGGATCAAAAAACTGGCCCTAAGTAATTCGCTGACGTGCTGACTTACAAAGTCGATCGCGCGGACCGACCTGGATTTCGCAACGAAAACGTAAACGCTGAGTCTGCAACACGTGCCGCGTGGACATCGCCGCTGGCCTACGTGACTGATGTGGAACGACACTTTGTATCTAGCATCGATCAAGTCAAGTTCGAATAGTTTAATTTAATTATAATTATTTTTGTAATACTTTTCTCTGTAGTAATAAATTAGATTAAAATAATTTTCGTTTTTTTTTTTTGAGTAATCCGTCTGTGAAAAACGTAATTCGCTAGATGAAGTAGTATAGTTTTTTTAATAATAACCTTTGTTTTGATTATAAAAATTAAACCATCTAGTAGTTCTTGATATTTTTCATTTATGATCCTTGTGATATTTATGTAACACATTTTTTCAGCCATACACATGAAGATAAAGTAAAAGAACTGGAGGCCAAACTCAGAAGCAGAACTATTGGTTGAAGCAAAGTTATTTGACCTCTGTTGACCTTTCGTTGGACTCCTGGGTGGCTATGTCATAAATCTAAATTTTCCCGGAACCTGTACCGGTCATTGATGTTATTCGCTAATTTTATGTTACATAAACTTTTTGAAAATTGGTACTAATAGTATAGTTTTACACGTCACTAATTACATAGGACTTGAAACTTTATTTATATATCAGAAATAAGATTGTACATTAAATATACTCTGAAATCCAATCCAATGTAACAAAAATCTTAAACAAAAGGGTTATTAAGTAATAACTACAATTAAATATAATCTATAATAAAAAATGGTACGCAAATATTATAATAAGAATGCAGATACATAGCAGAAAATTAATAAAAATTATTAACTTTTTACCGTCGTCATGTCAATCTCATTAATCAATAATTCAGACTTGCAATTTAATTTGTTGAATTATTATTAAAACCTATAATTCCACTACAGACCCTTTCACATAGAATGGATCCGATGACATCTGTCAACAAATTTGTTAACAGTTGATGAATAAATATTATTCTCAAATCCTGTTTTATATGTTGATCTCAAAACCGTTTATTTCTATTAGAAATAAACTCAATAACATCGAATTTATGTATCTAGAAACTTCAAACCCCAAACGTCACTGTATGCTATGTGAATAAGACACCGTAATTTTTTTTCTAATTTCCCTATTGTTGTGGTAAAGGGCATCCTCAAAAAATAGCAACCTCGTGTGTGTCAATATGGCGAATGACAATTACTAATGAGGAAGTATTTAAAAAAAATAAAGAAACTACAGAAAATTATGTCACTAGATGGCAGCACAAATTGTTGGATCTAAACGTCAATTCATGACGTTAAGCCAAAGAGAATAGATTTGTTAGTGTTGTTATGGATCTGATAACTCGGATTAATATCGAGTTGAAATTTAACTAGTTCGAGTTATGCAAACGCAACTCGATTAAAAGAAAGTAATCTTTGAATAAATTTATTTTTTATTTGTATAGAGGAAAATGGAAACTAACATAATGGTAGTGAGCACAGTGGTTTTTAAATTTATGGAAATCAATTGAATGCTGTGATATAATTAAAAGTGGCATCTAACTACGGTATACAATAATATTACCGCCAAATAGTTTTATAAATAAAATAGGTACTTATGTAATTGTAGGTCCAGGAATTTTTCATTTTAATATTTAACAAAAGTTCTGAAAAAATAACAACTAGGTAAGTTAGTTTTATTGCTATTAGTTGTTTGTTGAACTTTCAACAACAAAACTACATCAAGTTTCAATAATATTTTTATATTATGTATGGTGAATGTATGAATAGGGTTTATTAATCAAAAACAAAAGTCATAAAAACGATAATTATTATAAAAAAATCCGTTTATTATCTATAAACTTACCCGATATGTATCAAATATACTATGCATTCGTACAAAATAACATAACTGCTGGCTAAAATGACGTTTGTGCAAAGTGTAACGTGCAAATAACTTGTGCTTTCGAAATTAAGACATTATTAAACTATTATCAGTTATTAAATCTTATATTCATAATTAAATCATCTTAATAAACATTCAGCAATCAACAAGAAACGTCTGCTCTAAACGAACAGCAAGGTTATAACTTTAAATTTCAAATCACAAAGTTATTATACTATTGCTACTGATCTTTCATGTCGACGGCAGACGTCGAGCTATGTGTTAAGTTAATTCGTACGGTGGGTTTGTGCTTTTTGGTTCTTACAATAATATTGTTAATAATAGTTTGACTTCCTACACAACCTACTCTAGAAATCCGTTTTGTTGTTTAGTGGAAATTAAAAAAGCAGCCCTTGCTGAGTTTCTTGCCGTTTTTTGTCAGTACGAGATCTCCCGCCTCAGTTTTGCGAACCATTGGTAAAGTTTTCGACTTTCACAAGTAATATGTAACAGCCTAGACTGGATTGATTTTGATATTTATGTAAATATCATTCGTTTTATGGATGCATAATGATCATCATCATCATTTTTGTTCTCCATTCCAAACCTGAATTCAACGAAAATTACGAGCAACCAATAAGTTGGCTCAACACTAATGTTGACGTATCAACCAAACATCGTTCCTTTACACGTAACATAATAAACAACTTAAACTTACAATTAAAATAAATTCAAATTAGTTTGAAAGTGAGATATTATAAGAAACACAAAACGATGTCATTTTTATTAATCGAAAATACTCAATTTACATTTATTACGTCAGAAATTAAATTTGAATGAATATCATAAACAAAATCCAAAAATCGCGAGTGACATCTAGTATGATTTCAAGAACTAATTTTTATTTTTTAAATACTTCCTCATTCTGTCGACTCGAAAATTGTGATTCATATATAAACGTTTCTCGCTATCAAATCGTGAAAAATAGTTCAGAAATGTGTAGTCCTAGGCTGTGGAAGCAAATGGCATCCCAGATGTTCTTTGATATTTCACAGGTGAGTCGTAAGTTACTATAATTGATGACTGCTTGCATTTTATAAAAATATTGTGTTTAACCTAGAATCCTTCAATTTTTGATCATTTACAATAATATGGTATCTAAAGTAATATATGATTTAATTATTTACAGTAGCATAATTCAGAAATTTTCTAATAAAAGAAAACAGTTCATATTGTAAAATAAAAATAAACAAACACTAATATGGTGACCATAAAAAGAAGATAAAGGATAAATAATAAAACTGAACTTAATATTTTTTATTTCACTTTTAGTTTTCCCAAGGATCCAATAAGGAGAAGTCAATGGCTATCGAGTGTCAA